CTTTATCCATTTTAGAGCATGTAGCTATGTTACATTACCTTGTGTTATTTCACGTACGTCATCGGTAAGGATAAGCGGGCATGTGATGCAACAGCTTGGGGATTAAAGGGCAGAGTCCAAGGAACAATGTATTTGGATGCCATCTTCGTTTGCAATATAGGCGTCACGGCGGCAACAAAAATTTCAACAAAAATTTTCTCATCCTGTCTTTTGTCTTTTGAATCTCGTGGTAATGATTGAAAAAGGGGAATAGTCGGCAAAAATGAAAGTCGCTCCATTATTTACTTAGTTCACTCATCCATCAATCCACACATCATTAATGCTTTTTCGTAAACATATGTTCATTTCATCACTCATCCCATCCATTCCGTCAATCAGTCATCCCATCCATTCATTCCGTCAATCAGTCATCCCATCCATCCATTCTGTCAATCAGTCATCCCATTCATTCCGTCAATCAGTTATCCCATCCATCCATTCTGTCAATCAGTCATCCCATCCATCCATTCCGTCAATCAGTCATCAATCCATCATTATATTCTGGTGCATGAATAGTGGTGCAATGCTCTCATTCATTCATTTATTCATATATTCTCCATTCCATTGAGTGATTTAGCATGGAAAGCATGTCACTGGAAGAGAATCGGTAAATGCCATCTGTAGCATCATGAATAATATCAGATCTCGTGCAGGCAATAATTATACCAATTTGACGGGACACTGTCACCCTTATAAAACAGTCTATTGAATAGTCTCATTACTGTAATATTGTGTTATTAAAATCGCCTTGTAATTGTTTGACGTGGTCGTTTCTTAGCCTTTCGAACACCCGTAACAATACACAGAGCGTGCGTACAGTGAGTTATGCAAAACGTCSAACGCCACCAGCGAGCCAGTTGGACAAGCCTGAACATTTACTTTATCAACCACTCGTCTCGTCAATTTGGAACTGGGCTGAATTTTCGTAGAAATTCAAATGGAAAGTCAAATGGAAGACACAAATAAAGATTCAAACGAGAAACGTGAAGACAGCAATGTGGAAACAGATGCCGGAAAACCTTCGGATACGCCGCCAGACTCACAAMAAGAACAATTTGACATGGAAACTGTAAAAGCGTTGGTTAAGAAAAATCCTATTGCTATTGGTAAGAAAGAGCATTTAATTTGAAATCAGTTAAACAGTTTAATTCATCATTCTCTTGTAGCAGTCAAAAGAAAACAAGTGTTGCACAAGAAATTGAGACAAGTTTCACTCTGTAGGGATACATTGCTCATRTGTAAACGTGGTCTTTAATGTATCGCCGCAATAGTTCATGGTTTTAATGTAACAAACTGATTATATTACTTTGTTGCATTTAACTGAATATCAGTCTTGAGATATACTGGGACTCATGGCCCTTGGGATTTCTCTATATACAATCAAGGATAGACCAATGCTAGATTCACCATYAAAGGAAATGTGTTGCTAGGTTTTCAGGTTTTAAGCCAAAARCGCAACGCATAAAACATAGAAAATGCAAATTTATTATTACACAGGGATCCCATAAACKGCTGGTGACTCGCACGTGCTGATTGGACTATGACCCTTGTCACACATAAATGAACTCTGTCATTCACTGTCAAATATTGCATGTTAAAGTAGGCCTTWATTCAACAGCACTGTCGTTTGTATATTCTCATGCATGTTTCAAGTTTATCAATTCAAAATTAATATTTCAAATATGTTGTTGTTTTTTTCGTATATAACACAATTAATTTATTCATTCAAGTCACATGACTATATAATGTCCACGTGACGTCACCGTTCATTTCATTTGCAAAATGGCTGCYGTTCAGAACGCAGTTAACACTGCCAAGGAAAACTTGGAAAAATGGCTCGAAGAAAAGAATTAYTTCACTGATTTGCTCGGGAAGGTCGAAGAGAAAACAAAAGTCAAGAARCTGTACCTGTTTTTGGGTACTTATTGAAGTTTTTATTGTGCAAAAAYAAGCTTTGTCGATTGCCCATGCAGGGATTTTTTGTACCCGCCAAAATGGTGAATAAAACATATCTTTTGTTGCAGGAATCGTCGGAGTTTTCAGCCTTTACCTGATATTTGGCTATGGAGCACAYATGATTGTGACAGCTCTTGGATTCGCTTACCCAGCATATCAGTCGTAAGTATTATTTATTAACGGTATTTCGCTTAGATCGCAGATTTCATCGACAGTGTCAACCGCCCGACTGGTCATCATATTAAAAAGATACCACTTTCTGTTTTTCTCCAAAATTGAAATTCACTTATCGCACTTAACTCTCTCACAGTGTTATTGGGTTTATTTTAGAGTCAAAGCGGTAGAAAGCGTTCAGAAAGACGACGATACACAGTGGCTTATCTACTGGGTTGTGTTTGGCTGTTTTAACATTGTGGAGTTCTTCTCCGATATTCTTCTTTCATGGTTCCCACTTTATTTTCTTACAAAGGTAATTTAATTTTAGAGAGTCTAATTTATCAATTCAAATAGTCTTTCTGGTTGATAAATACGTGGCCTTCATGGGAGATTAGCTTTGGGTAAACAAATTCAATAATGTCCTGGCAAGTCGGCCTGGCCTTTGGGGAAGGACATTATTTAAATTACTTTACGACTTTATACAAATTAGCGGTTTTAGGAATGTATCACAAGCTTAAATAATTGAAGTGTTTGGTAAATATGCTTTTCAAACTTAAAAGGTTTTTTTTTCATGTTTTTCTTCATAACCTTCATTATAAATGAAATCGTGCAAAATGTCTTGTACCTTGTGCTGCCTGGAGGATCGAGGCGATACAGGTTTTCACTATTTGCAGAGTAGTAAACAACAAGCATTTTTATTGACTTTAAATTGATTCAAACATGTTTCCTATCTTTTTGTACAAACAGTATGTACAACAATTTTTCAAAACATTTTGTACCATTTTTTCCTCATTTTTCACATTTTCAACACCAATTTTTTTTTTTGAAATTTATTTGTTGCTTCATGATTTTGTGTGTATTGTAGTGTTGACACTAATCTATAAGCATAAATGAAATTATTTTTATGTTAGTTGGCAATGCATAGTGGAACATTTAACAGACCACACCCAGCTGACAAAAACATGGAAACAGTATTTAATACAACATAAACATGATATTGTTTTTTAGAAAAATTAATATGAGAGCAACATGGTGCAAAATCGAAATAAAAATGTAGAGGCACAATGTAGTTAATACAAGACATTAAAGAGTACTTAGTGCTGTAGTATTCCACTATTCCTATATTAGCAAAAGGCTTGGATTAAGGTGTACTATGTACAGCTTGCAATAACTAAAATGAAAAACAATAATTACCAAAAAGATCTCACAGTATATTTATCACTATAAATTACTCTTGCCAAATGTGCAATATCTATTGAGGAACTCTAATTTGTGATTCTTCAAACTATGAAGCCATTTACAAAAAGTGTTATTTATTGATATGAGATGCATTTATTCATAATATTCTTAATACCTGTCTGTAATCCATGACATTACAAATAATTGCACAAATTCATTGAGTTATATGTCATGGTAATCCATCCCTTTGTAATATGGTAATTACTGTTTGATTACTGGCTGAGAAAATTCATCATTTTCCAATAATAATCTACAAATATTGTTTGAATTTGCTGTACTTTGCATTTTAACAGTTGATATTCCTTGGATGGTGTATGGCACCAGTATCATGGAATGGCTCTGATACTATTTACAACAAAGTGATCAAGCCATTTGTCCTCAAGCACCAAAAGAAAATAGATTCTGCAATTGATAAAGTTGGTGAGCAGGTGGACAAATATGCTAAAGAAGGTATGAATTTTAATGACAAAAGGTTTGTTGGTGTTTTTATGTTGATACCTGCTGCGCTCTACAACATGTAAATAAATATATTTAATGTGAATACGCTCGTGTTCCTAAGCTTGCTTCTCTCATGTTTTTCGAACTCCCACCGTGTTTATATCAGAGGACAGAGACACGCGCGCCGTTTTATATTTCTTTTATAAAATTTTTCGAGCGAAAAGAACATTTTGCCGGTAAGCCGTGTCTCTGTCCTCTGATATAAACACGGTCGTCAGCCAATCAGAGCGCGCATTATATATGAAAAAATTTATAATAGTAATTCTAGAATTATATGTGTAATAATCATACCAGTATGTCATGCAATAACTACAATTATTGTGCAAATGTTTGGCATAATTTTGTGCTAAATTATAATCAAACAATATTTTTTTATTAATATATTTATCAGCCAGTTTTTTTCAAACGCTAGTAGAAAAACATTTCTCTCAAATAGTTAATTGAGAAGCAGATGTTTTTAGAGAGTGACATTTAGAAATAAATATTTCCCTTGCTTTCCCTTTCTTTCATATAATCATTTCTTGGTCCAGGGTATCATCATGGAGTATGAACCATAACATTGGCACTCATTTCATATCAATAGATTAATTTATGTTGTTTTGTTGTTGTTTGTAGCCAAAGATGCTGCCACAGAAGCTGCTATCAGAGCTGCTACTGAGAACAAGAAAGATGAATAAAGATGTTAAGGCAACACTAGATCTCTACAGATTTTTGTACTGAACCTTCGCAGAAAGTAAACTAGTTTGACTCGGTAAACCTTTTGAATGATGGCTATACATACAGTCAGCGTCTCTTATAGCCTTTTTACATGCAAAATACAGCAAAAATGTACTGGAATATATACAGTCAGCATCTCTTATAGCCTTTTTACATGCAAAATACAGCAAAAATGTACTGGAATTCTAATATTTTGCCTTCCAACAACACATTCATCTCTCATGTTGTCATTCCCAACCAACTTGTTTATCTCATGTCCTGAAGAGTACTACAAACACACTAGCGTTGAAATCGCTCTGTTACACATCCATTACTTTTGTATGCAATGAGAATCAGGTTTTTCCATCATAAAGTTTGTAACGTTTTGCCTTTTGCATTAATATTTTGACGTGACAAACTCTTAGAAAACCTTTTAAATCTAAAAAGAATGGAAAAAACAAGTTGTAACATATTTGATACATTCAAAATTTAATGTTAACAAGTTTTTTCACTTTGTAAAAAACAGCACTGACATTTTGAAATATTGTAACCAATATACTATCGGTAGTGACAGGAGGGAAAGCACATAGATGTGAATTTTGGATAGATGTATTTGTAACTTTTGTAGAGGATTTAATGATACCTTTTACAGGTTTTAAGAATCAATAGTAAATTGTTAAAGTAAGTTTTCTCAGAAGCACCAATAAATATTTGTTAATTGATAAAATATAGCTCTTTCCTTGTCATTTGTTGTTTGTATGGTTACATGTGTGGTTTCCATCATGTGCATCATTGTATCTTTGCCACAGCATGACATAAGCCTCAGTTGATCTTATTTACTATGTGTTCTTGGTATTCCTGTGTATTCATCTTTGTGATACACAGTCCTCTGTTTAGTCTCCTTGCAGCCGTTCTTAGTGGCTCCCTGTCTCCCACCCCACTAAGAACGGCTGCGAGGAGGCTATCCACTGTTATGAAATGTAAAGGACCCCCATGGGTGAAAGTTAAATGTGCAAAGAGTTGCGCCAAATAAAAAGCAAGCAAAAAACTGGTCCAACAAAATCTAATAATCTGCTTTTAGTGCAGACCTACTAAACTTTGGCAATCATGTCTGATTGCAGTTGTTTTCAGTTTTTCGATTTTTCGGTTTGTCACTCAAACTACATGTAGCTCTGTAAGACTAAAGTTTCTACAGAAACGGCACAAGAACCAACTTTTTATAATACAGTATAATCCCAAGGTGAGTGTTGGATGCATTCATCACATGGCAGGGAGGATTATTCTGGGAATGAATATACTAAAGACGAAGGGGGGGAGGGGGAAGAATCTTCTCTCGTCCTCAGTCTCCTCGCGTCTCCTCGCGAAGGAAGTACTACAGAGAGAGAGTTGACCGTGGAGGAGGCTATGCCAGCCGAGGACGTCTATCTGTAGTACTATCGTTATGATAATTTCTATTGTTCTCTCAGTGAGGGTTGATTGGCTAGATAATTAGGACTAATCCTAAAGCTTTCCTACAAGGAACAATAGCCTCATCAAAAAGTTGTTTGTATACATGACGTGTAATTTCAGATCTTCAATTTGCCACCACGTCAATTTTGTTTAATTGGAAGGCCTACAGGTCTGTCGCATGTGTATACGGAACTGTATTCCTAGGATAGCTGTCTAGTGGCATCACTCGTCTACTTTCATGGCGGAAAGTAAAGCACATGCTGATAGTCTCTATGACGACACGGAAGGTAGGATAAAATTCTCGTCCACTTCAGCTAAAAAAAGGTTATAACCGATATTTGTAATAACTTTAAACGTCAGGTAGTCCTCACTTTACTATGTATAATCTTTGACCCTTATGCGGATCCGTGTCGAATAATACGCACCAAAAATACAGCAGGTAACGCCGTAGTTCGGAGGTCGCTGTCCATGGAGGACTGTTTTTTGTACCTTGTGTACGATTTCGACGATTGATTACACCTGTGAATCTATTTTTTGTTTCGTGCAAACCATGTCTACCCCATTAATACATGTACAGACATGTGCTACGTTTAGCCGATCAAACCAGCTACTTAAATTGCTGTCAACACACTTGATCTGTTTATTATCAAAAGTACATTTGTTCTAGTATACATTTAACATATGAAGAATGCCTATTTCAATGCGAGATTTAGTTTTTCTTTTAAAAGAGATTAGTACATCATAAATTATTAATGATTTTAATAATCATTCAGTGCTGCTAAGTGATTAGGCTCATATACTGGAAGAATGCCTGGTCCTTCAAAAAAACATCTTTTACAGATCGCACTGATTTGATACGGGTGTTGTGTAATCTGGCAGTCTGGACCATACCAGACAAAATACATCATCATACAGTCATAGTCAATATCAGTTTGAGTGGCTCAGTGTCAGTGAGTCTGATAAATATCTTAGCCCAAAACACGAAACAGCAAATTAAAAGTTCTACAAAGCACATCTTAAATTTTTGAGTATCTTAATGATTAAGGCGAAAGTAATGAGAAAAATGCTAAATTCTTCGCTTGACTCAGTGTTATTTGATTTAGTAATTCCAAAGTCACTTGGAATCCGGAGTCCCGGATCCAGAGTCCGAAGCAGAAGAATCAATATAAAACGGTATAATTTCGATCAGGAATTCTTGTAAAAAATGTAACATAGAATCCGGAATCCAGGAGTTTGGAATCCAGAATCCAATATTGCGGATTTAGTTTCATGGAGCGAAAGAGTATTGTACGCTTGTACATCTGTAGCGACCCATTTCCAGGTATTTAAAAAATAGATTATGACATCTTATGGTTATTTTTTCTATTTTATGTGCACATAGTATTCTATTCTTATAGGTCATAATGTAACCCCGCCCCGCGCCCGCCAACCCACCCGGGTGGGTCGCTGGCTTAACTTCTCAAAATCTGGGCTTAACGGCCTTGAACGTCCAAAGAGCATCAATGGGAGAAGCCGGGAGTTTTAACATTGTTTTTTAAAATACTCATGTTAACCGAGGGTTGGGGAAGGGCGTGTTTCTTTAGTTATAGCGGATGTGTTCTACGAATAACTAAGGAAAGTCTATATATAGCTATCTTTCCGTCATATCAGATAAGTATAGCGCGATGTCGACCTGACTGAGTCACGTGATCCAAAGTTACTTTGTCAAGTCAGATTTTCAAAAATCTCCGTTTGTATAATAGAGAACGTACGATGTAACAACATTACTGAACAAAAGAAGTCGTTATAGCAGGTCTTCTAAACAACCTGTGTCGACCTGTGTCACATGTTCGATAAGTTTCCCGCCAGCACATGACCTTAACGTCATCAGTTGAAATCACATGATAAATTCTCGATTGTTGATTGGCTAATGACGCTATACACCCACAAGACGCCTTCCATTTACCGCTTCGCAGTTTTGTCAACAAGATTGAATGATTCATGAGAATTTTGCTCTGATCTTCGTGATACATAGACGCTTTGACTGTAAACTTACTTGAACTAGAGTCTTAAAGGATTGCTCTAAAGGATTGGCAATATCGTTGGGGTTTGAAATATTTCGAAATCCCGCTATTGTTTCTGTGTTCAAAGTTCACTTGGTTTTGCGCGGCGTAGCGTGAAGTATTTTCAACTACGTTATCAAATTGCACGTTGTGTTTAGACTTGAACTTGGTTGTTTGACAATCTTCCAGCGAATACTACGAAACTTGATCTGATATTTTGAAGATGGCAGAGCTTATATCTGTAAAAAAAGTTCAAAGTAACGGCACTGCCGTCTTAAGCACAAACGAAATGTCAAAAGATTGTGAGAAAGACATGGTGCATGATGACACAAATCCTACTTCTCACGCAGGAGAAAATGGAACCAATGGATCGGCACATAAGCCCAATGGACTCAATGGCCATAGTACTCAAAATGGTGGATTGAAAGCCGCGACGACGGAGGCAAGCCCTTCACTAGAGCCGCGAATTTCTCCACCTTTGTATAACGACGTATCCACAGGCGAATACTGGACAACAAAGGCAGATGCCAGTGTTCGTCTAAGGATAGGAGACACAAAACACACTAACCAAGTGCCGATGACTGTCAATGAATTGCTAGAAAATACAGTTAAAGAAGTCCCCAATAGGATTGCTCTTGCTGTGAAAAGAGAAGGAAAATGGAGACATTGGACATACACCGAATATCACGAAGAGGTTCGCAAAGCAGCCAAGTCTTTTATCAAGGTTAGTTGTCGTTTTATTTTCTGTTGTGTTTTTGCCTCGTGTTTTTTAACTTATTTTTAACATTACAAGCGTTAAGAGAATGGCTTTTTTGTCACATGTACATTCATTAATTGCTTTCAGAGGTAGGAAAAGTTAATGCCATCTTAAAATCGATCAAGTTTTCTTTGTTTTCTAGATACTATTCTCGTAATGCATTAGTTAACTTATATCGCTGCATAGTTTATGATTTCTCTGTTATTTATAGATATTGTAGATTTTACTTTTACTTTCAATGAAATCAACTTCCCTACATTACGTCCACGTGTGCTTTCGTATGCAAATTTCTTTATTGTGTTTACTGCTCATTATTGTTTATGTGGCTTTTGAAACACAACTCTCTGCAAAAAGTACCAGCTCAAAACACGTTTTTGGCGAAATCATTTGTAGATAAAGATTTGTAATACCGAAATAGAGAATAGATTTCTTATCTGTGATAAACTAACCTCAGTAACTAGGATACCTAACATGCATAAGACTAATTTCTTGGAGCTAATTTGCATATTGATTCACGAAATTGTGCATTAAAAAATAAAGTTGTATTCAGGGTTGTTAAGTACTAATTTACTTCTTGTTGATTTTCATCTCATGCCAGTTTGCATAATTTGTTAGTTTTAGAATTATCAATATTTTGAATGTTCACATTGTTTAAGAACTTTGTCAGTAAATCATCTTACAAAAACACGACAAGATAATAATCTGATTCAAGTAGATATACCGATCTTCAGTAAAAGTTCTATTGCTTTATTGATTAACAAAGTTGACTGTGGTTTTTTACAAAGTTTGTACAAGTTTATCTAGTTTTATATTAAACTTGATAATCAATGGATCATTTCCAAGAATTTCAGCCAAGTTTGCTTGGACAAAGTTTATTGTCCTGAAAAAAAGTATTAGCACAATACAATAATGGCAGTACTTTTCTGTTGATTTAACTAAACTATACAGACATTAAAATTCATCTTAAGAGTGATGAATAGCCTCTCATGAATTCAAATCGATTTAAGTGGTCTTGAAGTATCCTTTTTTCTTAAAAGCCCTATTGAAAAATTACTTAAGGTAGAAATATATTAATATTCTACATTAGCAGTAGTCGATTCTAGTCACCCTAAAACAAAGACACATATCCATTTGTGTACATTAAAGTTATTAAAAAATGTTGACAAATTTCTCAAATCTTTGATATTCAAGTAATGTTTCTTCCAGTGACACTTCATTATTTTCCTGACATGTTCATTTTGATCAAATTGGTTAATTTTGAATGTTTTTGCTTTTTCTTTTATGTTGAGCCATACCAATTTTGTTTTGATAGCAAAATGACCTTGTCTTCATTGTTGACAGAAAGCTCTGCTAAATTAGATAGGCATTTATTTTTAGAACTGTCTGATGTGGTAAATGTTTGGAAATTTCAGAAGACACAGGAAATATCATGCAGTGATGTGATTACCTAGCTTAATGTGTCTGTGATCAAGTTTAAGAATGTCTGAAAAAAAAATCCTATTAAATGGATTATCATTTGATAAAGACTCTAACTCAGTTGTGTTGAAAACTTAGTAAAAATTTTATTGTTTGTCCCTGTGTGATGTCACTTCCTGATCATCTTAGTAGACTAGAAGAGTCGCAGTAAGGGGCACTTAAGATTATCTATCCTGACCCTGGTCTTGAGTATTGCATAAGGTCCGGAAGAAGTAGACCTTTAATCTCTTGTGTAAAACTTTCATCATTTGGTCCTGTGTTTTGTCCATCTTAGTTGACTACTAGAGATTGATCTTTAGTATTGCACAAGTCTGAAAGAATCATACCATGTATCACTTGCATACAGTTTTAGGAAGCTATATTTAAAAAAAATCTACCATGACCTTGATGTTTACTATTGCACAAGTCTGAAAGAAGCAGACCTTTGCAGACTTTTGCACCACCCTTGTTCACATTTATGTATTATACTGAAATGGCAACTGTAATTACATGTAAGATTGTTGTGCAAYAGTGATTAATAATTTATCATTATTATTAGCATCATCATTGAATAAACTATTGCTATTATAAAGAAATTAATATTAATGAATTAATCATCTTTATTATTGAGAAACATTAATAAATAAATTGTCTTTCTTATTGAGAAATTACTTTATCTATGATCACCTGCGTTGATAATATCAATATTATTGTTGTCATTATTGCTTGATAACTGCAAAATGTATTTGTATAGTTGTTCTTGCAAAGAGAGAGTGGGTTCCTCAACCTGTACTAATTATTTTAATATAATTTGTATTTTCTTATAGCTTGGTCTTGAACCTTATCACGGTGTTGGTATTGTTGGATTTAACTCGCCAGAGTGGGTTATCTCTGATATTGGTGCCATATATGCAGGGTAAGATTATATCTGTACTTTTAAACATCAGGTACAAGTTATTAAAAGTCATTATTGCTACATGTAACTCTTAATTTAAACTCTAATTGTGCTAAAACAACCCAGTTCAGAGGTAAAAGATCCAATTTGTAAGTAGCACTCTTAGGTAGATAATCATCAATCATCACGATTGTTGGCTTCTCGCTAAGGGATGAAAACTGTTTTTAAAAAGTCTTTATGCAGTAGTAGAGGGCTCGATGCAATTACCAGAATAGATATACTATTAGGTGTAAAGATTGTTATTGTTTCTTTCTCATTTTATTTTCTACCATTTGAAAAGGGGTCTTGCTACTGGTATCTATACTACTAATGTTCCTGAAGCTTGTCACTATGTTGCCAGTGATGCGTCATGTAATGTTATTGTGGTTGAAAACAAAATGCAACTTGATAAAATCTTGAAGGTATGTTTGGGCAAGTGGTTCTGTGGATAAAGATGGAATATTGATTACCAGTAATAACATATGACGATATTATCTTTGAAGGTTTGGGACAGACTTCCTAAACTCAAAGCTATAGTACAATACATTGGTCAAGTTGAGGAAAAGAGGGAGAATGTTTATGATGTAAGTTTTTTATTCAAAAAGTAGATTTTTTGAATGTTAAAAGTGTTTATATAAGATGTTTGGGTTGCATGATAACGTTGAAGTCCTTGGTAATGACATGAATGACAATAAAATGTTATAACTGCAATGTCATGTGGGTAATATCTTTTTTTCTTGTATAGTGGAATGAGTTTTTGGAGCTTGCAAAAGATGTAAGTGATGAAGAACTACAGAGCAGAATTGATCTTCTACAACCTAACAAATGCTGCACACTTATCTACACCGTAAGTATCATTGAAAGTCAAGCAGCTGTTTAATCTAAACTCTGTAGTGTCTTTTCTACTTAAAAAAATGAGAGTATTTTAAATGCATGTTGTGGTCTGGCACTGATAAAGGTCTGAGTCATGAATTAAACATGGTCATCTTTGTTGTCTTGTTCTCTCTATTATATTGGATTTTGAAGCTCTTTATATAAGCAACATTCAAAAATTGAAAAGACTGTATATTCTGTGATCATTGATGAAGTGCAAGTGTCCTCTCTTCCTGAAGAATGACCTTAAAGTGCAATGATGCATCTATTGTTGTTTTCCCCCCAGTATTTAATATTACTAATTGATTTAAATCTTATGATGTTTTTCCTTGAAGAGTGGAACAACTGGAAATCCCAAGGGAGTGATGCTGTCTCATGATAATGTAAGTTATTATTGCAATTTGATATAAATAATTTACAACACCAGAGAAAACAGGAAGAAATGAATTCTATTATTTATGCCATTTTTGTATCTATTTTGAACATGTTCTTAAGATGAGCTATTAAGTATTAAAAATTATAAGGCTGTTATTGTGTTGGAATACTCCGATTTCGAGTTCTGGCTTGCTCTGTGTTAGCCTCAAAACCAGGCAACATATTCTTTTGTTTCATTGATAGCTCGAGAAAACGCATGGAATTTGAAAAGAAAGACAATGGAATTGATTTGAAATCTCACACTTTTATTCTCACAATTAGGAATATTTTGTGCACAAATGAGGCTAACACAGAGCATTGGAGAATTCGAAACTGGATTATTGACATTTACTATTAAAAAATACAATGTATGATGTGGTGTACATGTATATACCAGTAATACTAATTATTAATGGTGTAATTGCAGATGACATGGATAGCACAGACATCTTGTAACCATTGTGAATTAGGATGCAAAAGAGAGGAACACGTTGTCAGCTATCTTCCCCTCAGTCATATTGCAGCACAGGTATAAAGAAATCCCCACCCCTCCCTCATGATAATTTATTTGATGTGTCTAGTTCCTAGCTAGTATCATATGGAAAGGAAGCCCATCTTGCTCGAAGTGAGACAGAGGTTGTGCTTGCTGTGATAGATACATGTATATGTACTTTCTTTTATTATCTAGCATTGTGTCCTAAACTTTAATGCAAAGACTTGCACAGTCAGACACTTTGCAAGATGACCTTAGGAACTGTAGAATGTATTATTATTAAATACATCTTGTTTATTGCTTACACTACTTTATTCAAGCATTGACAAGATAAAATATTGTTATATTTCAGCAAACAGACATATATATGCCATTAGTCTCCCATGCTTCAGTGTGGTTTGCACAGCCAGATGCTCTTAAGGTACAGTCATGAATCTACTTTGAAACCATTTTAACCAAACACACATCTAACTGTAAGTTATATTGCTCTAGGGATCTCTTGTCAACACTTTAAAAGAGGCAAGACCTACCGTGATTCTAGGAGTTCCAAGGTAACTTATGGAGTACTTCTTATCATGCACTTTTAGAAATTTCAGCACTCTTTATAATAAACTACAGAAAATTTGGATGTTATTCCTTTGTCAGAGATAAAATCTCAACACACAAAACATCTATTGTTCTCTTTTTCTATGAACAGAAATAAAGATTCAGTAATTGCTTATTGTGTTTTGCAGGGTGTGGGAAAAAATAAGTGAAAAACTGATTGAACTTGGCTCTGGTGTTACTGGCATGAAGAGAAAGGTTGCCAACTGGGCAAAGGGTGTGGCTTTGCAGGGCAATCAAAACATTGAACAAGGGTAAGTCCAAACTACACCCTTGATTCACTGAAAGGTTTCCTTTGAGGTATATTTTCTGTTCCATGCAATACACACTTAATTGCTCTTGACTTGCATTGAAAAAATGCTCATAATAAATTGTGGTGATTGTTTCTGATGAAAATAAAAATTATAGCAGCAGTGAAACCTTGTTTCTTGTTTACATGTAAAAGCAATGTAACATACATTATCTCAAACAAACTTGGTTCAAATGAGTGATATACCATGCATTTACTTTAATTAACCATTTTCTTCAACAGAAAATCAGTTCCTTTTGGATGGTCAGTTGCAAATGCTCTTGTGTTGAAAAAGGTATCATAATTATAATCATAATTTTTGCAGTTTTATTTTTCTTGTTTCATTAAATTTTATATTAGTATCATTTTCTTTACTGTGGTATACCAGAATTATTTTATTCATTTTTAGATGCTATAAACCATATTGAACATTGACATATCTAATTTTCAGATAAGTATTGCACTAGGACTAGATCGTTGCAGAATGTGCTTTGTTGGTGCTGCACCTGTTACCATGGAGACTCTCCAATACTTTCAAAGTATCAATATCCCTCTTTATGAGTTATACGGAATGAGCGAGTGCAGTGGCCCACATACAGTGTCTATTCCTGGACATATTAAAACTGGTAGTTGTGGTATAACCATGCCAGGATGTGAATCTAAGGTTATCAACCCTGATGAAGAAGGCAGTGGTGAGGTAGGTAAAATTTTAAATAATTTGATTGTTGTTTGGCCATCTTTTGTGGCAATAAATATGTATGTCTTCTGTGGATAAAGAAACTCGTTTGCTGATGTTTTATCCATACTTGTATCTTGTTGCTGGGATACATGACGATATTTTACAAGAATGTRGTTGCTTGTATTTTTGTTTTTCATATTTAGCAAACATGCAATACTTTTGAAAGCACCCGGGTCCCTGCAAACTTCACTTGTTTCATTGTTTGAACATTTTTTTCTTCCTCTTCATAGCTGTGCATCAAAGGAAGGCATGTATTCATGGGATATCTCAACAACATTGAGAAAACAGAAGAATCTCTGGATAATGAAGGGTGGTTACATTCAGGAGACGTTGCAAAGATTGATAAGGTGAGATTTGAGGACGAAAAGCATGGGAAAACTGCAGATGAAGAGGTAGACATGATCTGCAACAAAGTTTAGTATGACTGGAAAAACATTTTAGATTAAAAAGCATGGTAGGGTTTTGAATAGTTGAATTTTAATATTAATTATCTCCATATTTCATTTCTAGAATGACCAAGTCTATATCACTGGAAGGATAAAAGGTAGTATTTGATGACTAGAAAATGTTTACGATTATTATAAGACAAGTCTTACTGTACCTTGTAGACACCCATATTGCAATGAACAATCCCATATTAGTGTATTACTGAATAAGTACATTGTATTAAATCCTTTTATCCATTGGGAAGGCATATTCACCCTAATACAATCTGACTCAGTTTGTTCCTTATTGTTCCAACTTCTTGTTCCAACTTAACTCTTAATATTTTGTTGTATCATAGAGTTAATCATCACTGCTGGTGGTGAAAATGTTGCACCTGTACCATTAGAGGAAAGCATCCTCAAAGAAGTTCCAATTCTTAACAATATTATGGTGGTTGGAGACAAGAAGAAGTTTCTTAGCTGCTTAGTGACATTAAAGGTATCATTGCTTTAATGAATTTTGTCATCAATATTGCATTCTTTTGTCATTTGTTAATATTTTTGCGGTATATATATATTCTCATTCTTTTTTTCCCTATTGCATTAAACGTTAAGGTAGATACATCTGGGAACAAAACAAAAATGATTACATCTCTCTTGGATAGTAGAGTCTATTTTTTTGTCTCCCATTTGGTGCTAAATTCCCATGTATCACATACTATTTTCTTCCTTTCCTTTGCTTAATTTTTCTTGCACGTTTTCTTTCCATCATTTATTCATTTGCCGTTTGGTTCATTTTATTTTCTTCACAGGTTGATGTAGAACCAGAGTCAGGCGAGCCTACTGACAACCTAAATTGTGTTGCCCTGGAATTTTGTAAGTCAATTGGATCCCCCGCTAAAACAGTCACTGAAGTTTTAGCAACAAAAGATGAAAAAATATRCAAAGCAATTCAAGATGGGTTGAGCCGGGCCAATGAATATGCACCATCTCGAGCTCAAAAGGTTAGTCTTTAATTCATGGTTGTTGCTGTCACATGGCATTCTAATTCAAGTGTTTTTATGTTTGATATTTTCAGGTACAAAAGTTTCATATTTTGGAAAAGGACTTCTCTATTGCTGGTGGAGAGCTTGGTAAGTTTGCAGCTTCATGTCTAAATAGCATGATTATTGATTACTGTTAATTTGTGCAAATTACAATTGCTGCAAAATAATGTCAATTCCATTTCAATAACAATTCTTCATTTTTTTTCTTCTAGGTCCTACTCTGAAGTTAAGGCGGCCTATAGTAGCCAAGAAATTCAAAGATATTATTGATGCTTTCTATCAATCTTAACTCTACTTTTTATTAGCATAAGGTATATTATTTACATGGTAATTTTGCTGGAGGTCTAAATTTGATTAGTCACAAATCCTTGATGTCAAGCTGCTCAGTGCAGAGGAAGTAGCAGGAGATTCTGCATCTCCATTTACAAGAAAATTGCAAATTATGATAAATTTGATGAAGTACAGTGATTGTAAAAGTTAAAACTAAGCACTATAAGCTACATCTTAACTCAGTGTAAATGATATACCTTTTCTAGAATGAATAGAGTTCAATTTTGGGCTAGAAGTGTCTTTCACGTTAGATCTCAATTGTAAGCAATAGCAAACATTATACAACTAGATGAAAATGAACAATGATTGTGTGATTTTGGCATAATATTTGCTATTGCTCCCAAAATTCTTCATGAAACTTTGTATTTATCTTTTGTGTAAATAGGTAGAATGGTACATCTTAACTTGCATTCAAAGCAGTTATGATGTTTYTTTCATTTTTGGTTACCAAAGGTGGCTCCATGAACTGTCTTTTAAAAACTTTGGGAGGCATTCTAAATGGAAATTTATGCATGGATACCTTTGTCGGGTTACTCCAGGGTTCTCATGGATGGGAATTAATAAGTGCAAGTAAAATGTACATAAATAATTAGTAGGTGAAGGTTGCTGCATCCAAGCCAATGTCTCAAATTCATGTATTGTTTGACGAAGGTGCAATCATGTACACCAGAGAAATTTGTGGTAAAGAATACCACTAATTTAGGAACCAATTTTGAAACTACTAAAGTAATTCCTCTTTTGATAACTAATTGCGTTGGAGTGTTGAGTTTCTGAGCGAAGACAATTACCTTTGAAACAGAACAATGCCATATCTAAACAATGAAACTAGTTTAAGTATGTTTTGTTTTACAGGTTTTTTACTTCTYTAAGATTTATACATTAACATTAATTAATAAGCCTTGTTTATCACAACTAGCATTATTTCAATATGCAAAGAAWACTCATTATGTTGGCTGCATGACTGGTCACATCTACAGTCGTTAAGAGTGATTTAATATTCTTGTCTGTGAAAGGATACTCAAGATGGTTGTTACTAGTGGACTTTACAATAGTGACTATGACAACGCTTCACAATGTGAACTGGTRTCCATGTCAGCTGCACAGTGTTAAATCCAATCTATAAATTATAAAAAAACACATTTATTAAATATTAATATAATCAMCAGAATTCTACAAAATTATACAGTCTTGCAAAAGTTGTGCTACATAATAATTTTCTTCAATAATATTATTTTATATCCTTTATCAGTTATTTTTATGAACTATATTTCAATTATATTTCTCTTGTGTGCAAACAATGTTTCATTACTTAGTATGATAGTATGAAGCATGAGTAMTTAACTTAATTATTTCTAAAAACTAATTATTTTATTAGCAGCTGCATAGAGTATTGATGCACTTTATATGTGAAACTTTAGTACAAAATAGAAGCTAAATTATGCTAATTTGTTTCCTATAGTATAATCAACACTATTTAGTAATAATTAGTACTGTTTTTTTGTTTCATAGATAAAGTGCTTCTACTCTAGGTAGCAATATTCAATTGTTAATCTTCCATTATTAAAAATGTTTCTGTCAATAAAATAAGGTTTGGATGTTAAAGTTTAATTGTGYCCTTATGGAAAGTTAAAAACCATGCAAGCTTCTGCAAAGCTGTTTACAGGGAAATGCAGGTTTAGAGCTACCATACTGACAGGATGTGTTCCTGTCTCTAAAGCCTGGTTTCCATATAATCGTTACAATCGCTAGGATCGCTGGAGAGTGTTTCCATATGATCGCTACGATTGTTGAGCCACATTTTCGGCGATCGTTGCGATCCTAGCGATTGTAACGATTATATGGAAACCAGGCTTAAGATCATGCAGTCCATCTAGAGCTGTCAAAGCTAACAAGGCTGACTGTAGCCCTGAACCAAACATTACCCTCCCAAAGCAAGTCACACAAAACTGCTTGACATTATTTCAGTAATGGAAAAATATATTTCTTGACAAATGCAAACAAGAAAATTTACTTCCTTGAGCAWAGGTATCCCAAACATCAGTTGAACTTCAGACACCGTACGCGAATCATGGGAACTAGTCCCTAGTCTCTCAATTGAAAGAACTTTACACCGGAACTACGACTTCAAAAATGCGAAAATCTTCTTTTTTAGGTGGTTTGACGATGTAATGTTCTTAAGGATTCGGTAACACAGGTACTAATCTACCTAAAGATTACCATTCTATAACATTCTGAGSTTATTAGAGTGATTTTTTAAGTGAAAATGGCGAGCGAGTCGTCAGCCATTAGTCGATCGCAAGAGTATATGAGTTTTAGAAGTACTGTTCCATTACGTCGGGTGAGTTGATTGTATTAAGTTTATAACCAAGTATTTATAAAATTATTAGCTTAATAAGGTTGCACATGAAATTGTCTCTGTTTATATGGCCTTCTTACACTAATCAAATAAATATGAAGTGTAGGCCAATTTTGAATGTCATGTCTGTGAAGTCTTCTCTCTTTGGTAAAGAATCACTCAACTGTTATACCAACTTCTTTTTAAGGTGATTGTAGACTCTGCTGGTGAAAAAGAGTGGCTATTTTACGATGCAGGACCTAAGTCAGTGCGTTCACCACTGATCTGTCTGCCGCCAGCGAGTGGAACATGTGATGTATTCTTTAAACAACTTTTAACACTGTCAAGCCTGGGATATAGAGTGATCTCAGTAAGTGACATATTGTTATAAGATATATCTTATGTTTCTGTTTACGCTCTTTGGGCCTGTTCACACTACGACATAACCAGCAACAGAGACCAACAGCAAAAGAAAAGACAAAGAAATGAAGTCAAGTATGCAACGACATAAGCATAGCAACAGACAAAAGTATAACAAAATGAATAAAGACAACTTCCTTTTTTGATATCTATTGTTTTTTAGCTTATGCTGATGTTGACGTGTGAACGAGTCCTACTCGTCTCTCCTTTTCATGGTCTCCTCGCTGATCTTGTCTCCTTGCATATTTCTCCCCTGATCCTTGTCCTTTATGCTCTTTGTTGCTCTCTTGTTTTCTCCATTTTCTGACATTTCCTTCTATCTCTGACCGGAATATGTATCTGTGTCCATCCCACCTCTTCATTTCCCTTCTTTTCCCTGCTTCACTTCCATCCATTCTATTTATTTTTCACTCCTCATCTTTTTATAATTCTTCCTCTCCAGTTTTTCTAATGCAATATCTCCTAATAAARCTGTGAGTAAAATGAATAATTTATCATTCACTAGCTTGAGTACCCTATTTACTGGACATACCAAGAATGGACAGATGGACTGAAAAAACTATTGGACTATTTGCATCTTGATAAGGTAACTCTCTCTTTCTAAATAAACATCTTTAGAACCTCTCTTTTCAAGAAACAAGACAGACTGCAAAGACAAAGAACTTCTTGATTCAATGTTTGTACCTTTTATGGTTGCAGGTTCATCTGTTTGGTGCRTCTTTGGGTGGCTACCTTGCACAAAAGTTCTGTGAGATGACAGCAAATAATCCTCGTGTACAATCAATTGTCCTMTGYAACTCATTTGCAGATACTTCAGTTTTCCAACAGACTGCATCATCATCAGCGTATGTCAACCCTTTTTAGTCCACTGTTTCTATGTGTTCATGAAATTCTTATATAGTCTTCTTGGTGGTCATATGTGTATTTTGCAAGATTTCTACCTTTTCTAGTCTCAATTCACTGCTGGTTTTGTCATTGTTTTGACTACAGAGCTCGCTTCTTCCTTGTATATACATAGCAGTTGTTTTGTAGTATAAAGATATTTTGATCTTTTTTTAGGTTTTGGTTCATGCCGTCATTTCTCCTCAAAAAGATGATCATGAGCAATTTYAATGTTAATATAGTAGATGAAGACATAGCTGATTCAATTGACTTTATGGTAGAAAGGGTAAGAGGTGTATTGCCTTCATGATTTGTACTTGACAAAGCAATGGAATTYAATAAAATAGGCAACTTTACARTAAGCCAAACCATTGYACTCACTTGAATGTCTTCRCTTGATGAGTGATTACCACTGTTCTCATCCAWRGAACAGCAAACRGCATTGACATGGCTTGACTGAAATAATTTATGAAGAAGTTGTATATTGATAAAAGTTAAGTAACAAGGCTTCTTGTTTCATGTAGTTGGAAGGTATGGGAAGAAGTGAACTTGCATCAAGGCTTACTCTGAACTGTGTGGACTCATATATTGAACCTCAAAAACTACAAAACATTGSCATCACAATTATAGATGTAAGTACCAATGTACAAGTTAATAAGCATTATTTGTTTTACCACAGTCTGCATTGCTACAAAACCGATCCAGATAAAACTTGGTTGTGACCAACCAATTCTTAACTAAGACATTTTTAACTCCAATAGTGGTATAATAAATTTCATCATTCTGTAAATTGATATTATTCCCACAGGTTTTTGATGACTGTGCCTTGTCTCAGCCAGTCAAAGACGAACTTTACAAGTGCTATCCCCATGCTAAACGAGCACATCTCAAATCTGGAGGGAACTTTCCTTATTTGTGTCGTAGTACAGACGTTAATCTTTACTTGCAGGTAATTAATGTTTTAAAAGTGCACTTGATGCTCCTGGATTGGCATAGTTTCTAAAAGCAATTAAGCATTTGATATTGCAAATGTATTTGTGACCTAGTCCATTATGTCTTCAGATACATCTGCGGCAATTTATGGGAACACGTTACAGTGCAATTGACAGTGAACTCTTAACTAATGAAGACAAGATAGCCTGTGGGATGTTATCACTACAAGAACCTTCAACCAGTAAAGGRAATGATTTAAGTTCTTTACTAGAAGGCAATGACGAGGTAGTTGATTTGCAGAGATAAAGAAGTGTGCTCACATTTTTGTGTGTAGTACATAATGTATCTTTGAAWCAAACTAAAATTTCATTGCATAYATTATCCAGCTTTACTGCCAAAACTACTTGCTKGTGGCTTTTTGGCTGTCAATCTATAATATTGGGTTTYTGGAGTAGTTTGATCAGCTATTAGTATCCAACAACATGCAAGGGTGCAACTGKTATACCATGATTGCACTTTCTGGTTCCTAGGTTGAGAAGGAGATTTCTAGTAAAATTAAAACTATGTTTATACATTAATGATAGTTAATGATAATTTGAAATATATTGATACAAGTGCTGCAAAAACATTGTCAAACAGAAATACGACATTTGCTATTCATTCTGATGTATGACTTTTGCACCTAAAAATACAATGYTCAATTTTTGTATGGCATTCTTGCATTAGTGGTGAACAATGAAGTTAGCAAACTATTTGTCTGTTTGATATGTAAGTCCACATTAGATTCATTGTTTTTGGGATAGAAACTAAAACGCACTGGTAGATGAACTACCCAACCTGTATTATTTGTCATAGTAATGTTTTTGATTACYCCCMAAAAAKATTCATCTTTTGAACTTATCAAAAGGTTTTAAATATTTGTCCTRCACAGATACTTTGTTCCAAACAAATGTCCTCTGAAAGAGGTAACTCTAAGAATATTTCTTGTAGAAAGAWAATCAAAAGATTGAATTTTAGAGTGTTCTGCAGATTGTAGTACCAYAMCCTRTAAATGAAAAAAAATGSATAGTTTTGTAATCTTTTGTAATAAAAATCAGAGCACATTGAAGTAAAATATAGCATTTTTTAACAAAAATGACTGTATCAGTGTCACTTATTATTGTCTTGTGTGTGGAGATGTCAAAATCTCCTAATGTACATGGAATACAGATGTACTAATTGAAAAGAATAATTACAGTTATGGCAAATTGCCCTTTATGTATACAGCTGTTTCTAATAGATGTACTGTGATACTTCATAGTGTATCCCAAGACCAAAGTGCATGCTGCTCTTCCACATAAGTGACATTACAAAATGATATTCTAAACTAAATTGCTTTCATTTGCATAGTACAGAGCTGATACAATTACCCTGATAACAGTATTCAAAATCCTCTTTTTAGAAAGATGATAAGACAGCCAACAATGCACTTCAGTATTTGGTACACTATTTTTATGCTCAGTACTTGATGTTTTCTGAAATTTGACGACTTGAATACTTAGAATGAGATAAGACAGATAATAGGATATGAGATGCATAATCACTCCAGTAGTACATTATACATTATTATAAACCGTAAAAAGATGAAAAATCAGATAATGGTTCTTTGTCCCTTTTACATCCACAAAGGACCAATGTCTAAAACATTGATTTTTTCCATCCTCAGTCCACAGTGTATACTTTATATTTATCTCAACCATTAATGCACACCAACCCACATAATGCACACTAGTTTCAGTTTAACATGCTTAAGGTTAGCTGTTTCTTCCACATAATGCACACTAGTTTCAGTTTAACATGCTTAAGGTTAGCTGTTTCTTCCACATCAAATTCTTTAACTATCAATATCATTCTCTAAGCACACTAAAACTTTATCCTTTATCTGTCGCATTACTAAACAAATTTTCTTTCTAAATATTTAAAGAATTAGATTATTCATGAACACCAGTGTTTTAGAGTACAAGTTTCTGTGAATGTTATTAATGAAAGGAAACCAAAAAATACAATTTCAGCTTGTGTCAGTGGGAGACATCGCCAATTTAATGTTGCCTTTCACAGCATCTACTCCAGACTGATAAACCTGACGTGAAGTTTAAAGCATAATTGTGACAGTTAGAAMGTTATCATGCTGTCATAGCAAGCAGTTTCTTACTGACTTGTTAGTTGGGTGTCTCAATTATTGACAGTCTGATTGCCTTATGTTTTTTTCTCAATTAATCACTATAGTTCTCTCAAATAATTGCTGGRCAAGCTGTGGAACAAGTACACTTAATGGTGCAATAAAAGCTAGAAAGCTGTCTAGACTATTTCAGCTGTACTTCAATCTTTGATAATATTTATTATTTAACTATTTTGTAAGGCTTAAAAATATCTTTTGAACTATTGGATTACTATTATTTCACTTTGTGAGGACACTCATTTACTTATTAATAGGAAAAATTGGTCATGCATATTTTAGATTGAAGTGTTGAAGTAATGAAGTTTATGTGATGGAGTGAATGTCATTAATATTTATTAGATAGGTGCTGAATAGTTTTTGAGCGCTCTTCCCAGCAGTCAGGTTTAGCAGAAATGAACTTCCTCACTGTACAAACCAATATTGCATTGTCAATTCTATGAAATTTACCATTATCTCTTAACCATCCAAGACTTGTATTTGAAACTGTTTTCAAATCAATTATAAGTATTTWGTAATTCATACCTTCTCATAGTGACAATCCAATTTATCATTCAATATAGTCCATCTTGTTGACTGATAAGCCGTTGGAAAGTATATCCTAGGATATTGATTCAATCACGCTTACACCCAGGGCAGGTGTAAGGTAAAACTAGCCCACACACTATAGATGGCATGATATGTATGTATGAATGTATGTTTTATAGTTTTATGAAAAGAATGACACAAAAATACACTTGTCAACAAGAGTTACTTTGAGCTGTGGCAACAATATAATTATTTACAAGGAAAGAAGATACTGTCTTCCTTCAGGGGGAGRGTGAAKCAAAAAAATTMTTTTCACTATAGAAGACAGATATACATAATATTTCAAAGTCATGGTAGGACAACCCTTTTGGAAATGGCAAGAATTACATACAAAATATACCACTAAAAATATTGCATATAGTTTTTAATCAGGTTGATTGAACAAATTACTCACAATAAATTAAGATTTGATTTCTATGTAAAAATGAAAGATAATTTTAGACTTTAAAATTTTCTCTGTAACTGAATAATCAATATTTCATACTTCTCAAGAAAACTCTTTCATAATAATATTAACATCATATGTCATCCATAAAGTATTTTACAATAAGCTTCAATAAACAAAATTGGATCAATGGTGGGTGTTCGCTCTTGAACTGTAAACTTTTTGCCCACTTTATGAAGAGAAAACATTCTTAACCTTTTTATCTAGATGTCAACATTAAAGAAATCAAGATATGGTCAAGTACATTATGCATAATGGATTCTAGCCACGAAATTTTCCTTAGATACTGAATATTGTCATGGACATGATTTATCACTTCAGATGAAGTTTAAGCACATCCCAGACACTTTGAAATGACAATTTATCGTGATATTGCAATGGAAGTTGAAGCTTTGCATCATAACAAAATATCCAAAATACTGATTTTGAAAATAATACACTTGTGTTAATTTTGAGTATTATGTTGATGCTTTAGGACAAGCCATTAAGGACTTGTAACATTGATGGTTAAATATGCCATAACCTATTGTCAGTGATTCAGCATTGCCTTGCAAAATAAAAGTGATATGGATTTCACTATTGTAGGCAGCTGTTACAACACAACAAGCATCATAACAAATTTCAATTTTTGAACAAATTTCCTAATTTTTAAATGTAAACTTCGGTCTATTTCTTCTAAATGAATAACTTAGCTTAAAATCCCTTATTAATGTAACGACATATTTAAGGGAATTGAACAGGATTTGACTAAATGGGTTGTAAACAGATACCTAAAAGCTATAGTTATCTCAGAATTAAGACTCCAGTATGAAGCACTCTTAGATTTAGCCATAAAGAACAGTTATTTCGATATTTGTACAGAGGATTTAAGAAAAGATATACACGCTAATTCCTTGATCAAAAGAGAATAATCTTTGTTTGTGCACAGCAAAGATGAAATGGACATTYTGAGGAAAATATTTTGACATCCCACCCCTTGAAGTGTGCTTTTGCTTGAAAAACCATTACAAATCACCATACTTCACTCTGATCTCTGCTTTCTAGAATATAATTTGCACAGCAGTTAACAGCATTGTTTACAAGCTACCATCCTCCATAAGTTTATTCAGTCCATCGACCATGTTCTTGAGTATTCCTCGAAACGGCCCCGCCGGTTCAAATACACGTTCTAACAAGTCCCCATCGCCAAAATAGTTAAAAACATGATCGATTCTMCCGTGTGATTTCGGCGTCAAATGGCTTTGGACCAGTTGATGTAGTATTCCTTGACAGTCTTGAAGACCTTTGCATAAAAATTGACGATCGAACGARAAGTCAACCTCATAAAAACTAATAAAAGTCATTGCTGCAGACCTGAAGGATTTCCTAAATTTTTCTGCAAGCATGATTTCCTCCTTRYTGAATTGATCGTTCCGGAATAAAATGCTGATCTTTACAACTATTTTCACCAGATTTTTGATGAGTTTCTCAGCATCTTTCTTCGATGAACCATTGAGCTTGGCGATGCGATACAGATTATCSAGTAGTTCACCTGTTGTGTCGTCAACGAATGCTTTTGCTATGTTTTTGCCTGCCATTTTGCCAAGAATCTTCTTCTGTGCACGAAGGCCCAWGTTCTTTGAGCTGAAACCATGCCCACCATCGGCCATGTTTTCGACCTGAAGATACAAGTGGCATATGTATAATAATGCACAAAAATATTACGAATAATGACTTGTAACTTTAAAATGGGCACACAAAATAATATTCAGATCGAAACTATCACCTCTGGATCCATTGAAAGGTAGATAAAATACTTGCATTTACCAAATCATACCCCCAATTTAAATAAACACTTGCCGAGGCACAAACTGTTCGTCAGCAGCACGAATTTCACTGTGATATCTTAATATATGGATGATGATCATAACCACAGATCTCTGAGTGTGTAGCAGTCACTCACCTCTGACTGAGCACAGAATTKTGTTTTCCTTTGGCTCGGTTAACCAGGAATGCGCGATAAGATGGTTTTCTGTGGCAACTCAAACATTCAAGCAAGCTAGCGAAAACCAAACCGAAATGGACTGTTCATCACTGAACGTTGATCGACAAGATAGAACATCACGTGACTAAAAATGTCAACAGTTTTATGTAATGTACAGATTAACATTTCATTGATTCGTATCATTTCGAGCATTTCGTCTTTCTAGCTCTCCCTTGGGCATGGATATAATAAGTGGCACCAAAAAGGAACCTATTTAGTTTAATTTTAGGGAGTTTTTTTTTCTATTTACCCTAACCAACTCTTCAAATTCGAGTCAATTATTTACCCTGATTCGATGGAAGTTGTGAAATGACCTCTAAACTGACATATTAGTGACAGTTTGTGCTCTATGAGCTTAGGACGCTCATTGGTCATTGTTTACAATATTTAAAGTTAATAGAAACAATACAATAACAAATTAAATCCTATGCAAGCAGCGATTAAAGAATTTACGAGCACTAGGGGTCGATAAGCCTTTGCTGAAAAAGAAAATATTCCAGCTACTTTTTAACGTGTAGACATTCATAATTATTGCAATTGAAAATAGCTTCAAATTCGACTTGAAAGTAATGCCTCAAAAAATTTGGTAGATATTTGACTGACAATTTTAAAGGTAGAACTTTGAGCTTCAGACCTGCTCCCCATAGAGCTAGACACACAGCAAGACAAATGGGCCCGCGCCCGCTATAGTCTTTGACATTAAATGGAGCAATATTTAGAAAAAACTAGTAAGGCAACCCACAAGTTATGGAAAATATTTCGGAACTAATTCTAGATATATATTTTAGTTTTGATTTGTTGTGCCGGACATTTGCGTCACAGGTGTAAACGAGTTAATTAATTAAAGAAAACAAACAAAATTATGTCTCATTTATGCTGAAAAACCTCATTAAAAATATATTGTGTGTGTTTAGAATCCTTGCAAATGAGTTCCAGGAAGCGCAATATWATTTTATTGCAGTGAGSGACAAGTAGGAGCGAAATTTACCTTCCACGCCTGCATGGTATTTCGTGAATTTTTAGTCTCCCTGTTAATTTGTTTAACAAATGTTATAAGAAAATGAAATAATAGACTATTTTGGCAGTCACTTTTATAGGATTGATTTTTTCACACCATCACAACTAATGAACTTCGTATCCCTGCTTACTGTTTCTATGGAAACGACGACAGCTGATGCAAATTGATCATCATTTGTTTTTCCTCCTCTTGATTTTTCCCTCACAAACTTACCTGAGTATAAGAACTATCAACTTAGTATAGCAGTATATAATGGTGATATCTAGAAATTGAAAGAAAACGCCATTCTGAGGACACGATTTTAAACTATTGCCTATGACAAATAGTTACTACAAGGAAACAACATTGCATAATGATAATCATGATATTTTATCCTGATAGATATAATGCAGATCCAGATTTGTTCAATGTGGTATATAAAGTTTATTTACATTTTTTCACATTACMTAAAAATGCCCCCGCTTTACTAGTAACGTTTAATTAGCATAACAATCTKGATTTTACCCTTAACTTCCGGCCACAGTCTGATATTCCGAATARATAGAAAAGCGTAGAATATAAAGTAATATGAAAATATGCGATGTTTAGATGTCACGCCCATTTCTGTATACCATCAATTTCAGTGATATAAAGCTCTTTTCAACTAAAACTAAAGTATATCTGTGTTCGCGGCATTACGACTCCATTGATCAATAGGCTCTTTCTTTCCAAAGTGAATGGCATGCATTTATATAGGTGTAATGATTCATTTATCTTGGGGGTATGGTATAGCTCTAGTATCTATGTCAAAAAAGAACGATTATAGTAAGTTATGTCGTATTAATTGGAAAGAGGTGATAGCGGTGCAGTCGGAAGCACTGATCACTATCAGTTGATAACTAGTCTCGTTGGAAGCAGTGAAGTTCATGTTAATTTTCCGTGTGGTTTTTTTTTTTTGTGTGTGTGTGTGTTTGCTACATGCATAAATATACGACATATAAGAAAAGATAATTAGCGGTCAGGGCTTGTATCAAAAACATTAGAAATTCTACRATGTTGCCAGACTGAGCATATGATGCAGTCATTTCAAATTAGTTAATTGTCTGGTTTCATGTATTTTTTCGACTTTCGTTTTTTTCGCATGTGAAATTTTTACATTCATTTCTTATTCAAGCTTTTCATATGCCGTCCTACTTTACAGATCCGGCCATCTTAAATATCTTACACTTCAAATAATCCAGTCATACTCTCATGGATATCGATTTCCTCATTTCGCARGAGTACTACACGACGCGTCTTTCATTTTATTTCAATTTTCAATGTATTAARACAAGAACAAATTTTCGCATTGTTTTTTGTCTTTGATTATTGATATTCGTAATTTGCGACATTTTTCTTTTTTCTTTTTACGTCTGCGGATGTAGTCGCATCACATCACTTACKAGAACATTGGACTCGTCATGCTATCGTGCCCTGGGCTGTACTCAATTCGCGCCTYATGYTATTAAAAAGCGTCATTTAAGCAGACAGAGGCTAAAAGCGAGCAACTGATACTTTTTTGTGGACGTGTAACTTAGGTTGTGGTGGGTGCGGCAAAGAAACATCGAGTTTTTTGGTCATGAAACTTCAAACCACTGAGATAGGAATATAGAGTGCATTACATGGCCGAAGATTATCTTAAATCTGTACTTAGAATGCTTAATCCACTATCTAGCTATCTATTTGATAAAAAGGTCTTCACTGAATTCGAACATCACGTCTTCTAGCCTTTTTTCATCTCAATTAATATTTAGTATTTTTTTCTTAGGAGGAAAATTAATTGGAAATAGAACTGCTGCAGTTTCCATACGGCTACTATTAATAATTTACAACTTTAATAGAGGTCAAATATTACACGATTTGATAGCTCAAGTATGAATTGTAAGAAAAGTGTAAAAAATTTAATTTGTGTCGGAGTCTCTACCGGAAGAAAAATWAATGAATTGCACGAAGAAAAAACAAATAAAGAACTGCGATAAAACAAAAACAGCACTAATATATTGTTTTAACTATTAAAATGTAGAAAATGTTTACGATATTTTATGGTAAACATGCCTCACCGTAACTCGATCCGCCGATTTTAAATACTTTCGGCAAATATTTGTTTTACGAAACGTCGAGCAAAGGATTGTGGGATATCCCATAGCAACATGGCCGACAGAAAGCCCTCTCACTCATTACAAATGCAGAATGATGATGGCTAAATGAAMTTAAAATAGCCATTAAATCTGGAAAGTCACAGTTGAAATGCTAAAGCTAAACATTGTTTGTATTTTAGAGTGAGTATTATATAATTCATTTTGTTTATCCTGTAGTTTAAAAACCTTTTGCACKCTAATGACATGTTGTCGGTAGTAGCCGTGTGATTTGTTGTTGTTTCTAAACCACATTCACCATTTCATATTCAGTTGTGCATAATAGATAACACCCTTATTGTGTGAAGACTTGACATGTACCTTAGATCTATTGTTTATAGATTATAGGGCTAATAGACTATGCATAATTCATGACATCGTTGCGTAGTGAAGCCTTTGTTTTCTATTTGTCTAATGCTCCATGGCTTGAAGCTCAAATATTCACTCAATATTCCTTCGTACAGGAGTGTATCTGTCACTCATAGTAAGTAAAATCTTGTTAGTATATTGCAGACATAGTTTTTATCCTGTTAAAGTTCATAAATATTTTATAGATCATGTTAAAATATCATCAATGTTAAGCATGCTTTGATATTGAGCGTACTTTATCGCCATGGACCCATGCAGCTCATATTTGATCTTATTAAAGATCTTAGTGATGGTTGTACAGGAACCGCTGCATTGTTTTTGAAATTTCATAGATATATAGCAGACATAGAAGACTATGTTAAACATAACGATGTTTTCAAAGTGTTGTATTTTGGGGAAAACACCAAACCTTTGTAAACTGCGTGTGTAAATGCTATCATATAATGTTGTTAGGGATAGACTAATAACCCCATGCTGATGCATAGTTTTATTACACTAAAAGATATTCACAAGACAAAGAATTCGGAAATGTTGATTTTATTAACCAAGGCATCTCCTACTGACACCATATTCCTTTCAAAACTAAATTTAATGCAGATTTTTTTTTAAGTGTATTTATAAAGAATAATTAGTCCAGGAGACAGTGATATRATTTCTTAGCTGGTATCCTACTGATCACAAACGTCAAGGAGGTCTACTATCTTAATGATAACAAATTGTGATTATATCAAATCAATAGAAATGTTATTCTATTTCGATCTACATGTGAATCTAGAACGCTTGAAATAGCACATGTGCGCAGAAATGAAATCAGATTATAGGTTTCATTGTTCAAATCAGCGACTTTTGTTTTAGGTGTTCTTAACAATTTTCATGAATTTGTTCATGATATWTTTTTTTTWATTGGCATTATTACTTGTTGAAAACTGTTTCATGTTTTTGTCAGAGCCATGAATTAATGGCTCATATAAACTTGTTTATTTTCACTTTGAAAGATAGAGCTTCTCTTGGTGCAAAAGAGCATAAAGCAGATATCACTTTTAACTCATTGTGATATTATTTGTGATTCTCATAGGATTTAGCAGAATGAAAACTTACAGTGTTCAAGTGGGATCACTGTGGAACTGAAATTTTTTCTTAGACAAATTGCCAATTCCCAGATTCTCCACCTTCTTTTAGCTCTATTCAAATTTTTGTCCAAAACTCAAGATACTAGTGATTTGATCTCTAAGAAATTGTGGAAGGACCATTCATCACTTGTTGTTTTCTTGAACTGAATCCGTTTGTTCTTAGAGTTGATGCAGGTTACTTCAAGATACAATGTAAGCTAATGGATTCAGACATGATTGAAAATATAAAGAACAAATTAKCCTGTGGAGGATGGGAATAAATGTCAACGGAATAATGATAACTTGACAAAATAAACAAGCCTTTTCACTGGACTCTTAATCCACTCCCCTTTGAACATACTGTAACATGTATATTTTTGTTTATAGATGTATTTAGACTTGAATATCAAGCTATAAAGTATGCGCCATATTAACAAGATTATCATCAAACAAGCTACAGAGTCAAGAGCTGCTAGTAGTTGTGGGAGTGATAYTGATAGACAAGAACTGATTAATAACTATGGCAATGAGAAGTACCTCAGTAAATGGGGAATTGAAGATAACATTCCTCCTCCAGATACCCAGACAAGGGATGAACAAAAACTAGGGTATGGCAAGAAATAGATACATTAGCCAATAAGATAAATACAGTAATGGATTCAGGATCTTTTCAGGGAGGGGGGCAAGGCATTAAAAGTTTGAACAAAAGGGGGGGATGCATATCAGTTAAATGCGAGGTGTGCACCCCCCCTGCACTCTTCACCTTGCCTTGCTTCAGGGAAGAAGGGGGGGTGCATATCAATTAAATGCGAGGTGTGCACCCCCCCKSMMCTCTTCACCTTGCCTTGCTTCAGGGAAGAAGGGGGGGTGCATATCAATTAAATGCGAGGTGTGCACCCCCCTGCACTCTTCAACTTGCCCCGTTTCTGTTTTACTCATTCATCACTTATCATCGTGAATATTCCATAACAGCTAAAAACAATAATTAGAAAGTTGTCACCTTTTCTGGGATCTTAGCAATGGGTATTGGTCAGTAATGTATTTAAAAGCTGACTGTGGTTATGTTTCCAGGACAAATCAAGCCAGTGAAGAAATTCAAGACCATTTGTCAGCTGATGATGACAATGCATCATTAGTATCATATAATAGTGTACGTGATGGTACACAATCCAAAAATACTACATATCTACCTTATCAAGTACAACAACCATCTCAAGATATCACTGTAAGTAGCAACAAAGCTGTGAAATGTTACTGTACCACTTATTCATTCATACATACATCCATCCATTTCTATTTTTTTCATTTATTTATTTTTTCGCAGCTATGGCAAGGATATAGCGGCAATATCTACTTTGACTCTGTAAGATGTAGAGCTTTACGAATAAACAGCTCAAAACCTAACAAAAAGAAGACGAAAAAAGAGAGATCCTTGTCATATCGTTCAACAAAGTCTTGCAGTCCTTCGATAGAAGTCCACGCATTTAATAACAGTGCAAGCTCGTTTTACAGTCTTGGAAGTCTGAGAATTAGCTCCAGAGAAGACAAAAAGAAACTCACTCCATTTAAAAATCAGCTTCAATATAGCAAGCTTCGTAAAGGTTTTGTAGAAATTGAAGATCGGAGAAATGTCCACAGAACTCATTCTACTCCAACATCCCTGGTGATCTCTGGAGGACCAATGAACGGTAAAACGGACCCCATTGACAGTGTCTATCGACTGAATACTAAGATAAGATCATCATCTAAGACTAAGAGTAGAGATGGGTCAAGTCTGAATGATTTCACTTCCCTTATGGGAAATAACACAAAAATACATGCGCAAGTTTCAGAAAGTGTTGGTGATGTGGCAAATGGAGAGCAGCAAGGCCAATATGGCATTTTACCTCAAGTGGTCCAGACGCCTGGTAGCAAGGACGTATCAGAGCCAACACCAGTCTTTATTATCCCCTTTGCTACACTGGATGATCCAGTAGATACAGATACTTACTATCAAAAAACAGAAAAAAGACCATCTATTGAGAGTGAAAAAGGAATAAACAAATCTTTACAAAAAACAGTCAAACTAGTTCCAGAAATCACAGGTAAACCTGGCAAACCATCCGTAATAAAGCCTGATAAACCAGCCGTACAAAAGCCTGATAAACCAACCACTCAAAAAACAGTTGTACAAAAAACAACTACACCAGTTATACAAAAATCAGATAAAGTCAAGACATCTGTACAGCCGCTTGAAGATAAACCTAAAGAACATAGACTTCAGCAAACTATTCCTAATGCAGTTCCTACGCACATTGTCAACATCACCGGTGATGATAACATCTCACGTGTATCACCAAGGCCAGACTTAAATATTCGCCGTGAGATAAGCAATTCTTCATTGAGTAACTATTTACAAGCGGTTCCTCAAAGAACGAAGACTGTGGTCAAAGAACAGAAAAAATCAATGCCAAAATTAACCTACACGCAGAGAACTAGAGAAATATGTACGACAGAAATAGAAAATAAAAATACGTTCTATGAACAACCAAATGGTTTGCCAAGAACAGAGGCTTTGTATGGGGGCTATTTACCGTCCACACGACCTGCCAAAAACTTTCACGCTGACTTTCTTAGTGAAACTGCCAGTGACAGTAGTACCGTGACATCACGACAAAATAAGCATCACGTGACTAAGTCTATCCATAAAAGGACTTCATTGAAGGATAATGGGGCGGAAGTGAAGGGGAAATTTCATCTGCCAGTGATAGGATGGAATGTGTCGTAAAGCATTATGGAAGCCAACCCTCTGTCGACCACACCTTGCTTGCCACGAGATCACCAAAAGACAACATCAACTCGTTACAAAAGCGTTGGCATCATCATATTCATCATCATCACCCTATAATATTCATCATCATCATTATGCACGAGAAAGTAGTCAAAGTGGCGTGCTGTAGCAAGCGCTTACACCTTCAGACACTTGTGACTCCATTTTATACAGTCTCCGGTCTGACCTCAATCCCTGAATCTCTCAATAAACCATGAGCCAATATTCCGTTTATCTGCATTTCATCGACCCTTCATCACAACCTCTTAATATTTCTCTAGACATAAAATTTCGAGTAGGCGCTGTCTTTATGTTCCTTTAAGCTGCCATTAACACTGAGAGGGAAGTAGAGATAATGGTTATCGCTACCATTAGTACTACTCTCGTGGTTTGGACCTTCTAGTCTTTGCCAAGCAGAGTGGGCTCGCTGATATTATCATATCAATGAGTCAATTTCGAATGTGAGCATGGTTGTTTTATAATGTTTTTATATGCTAGAAAAAGTGTATATCGTAAGAGATTGTTTAATTTTAATGACTAAGATTATAAAACGAAAATTATAAAAAAGGATATACTTTTTTAATCTTAACATGTTTCAGCATTTCTAATTCTTCTGAGGATGGCATAATGTAATGCTGAAACATGTTAAGATAAAAAAAGTATATCGTATTTTTTAAAGTTTTCTTATCTCTGGTGCTAGTACGAAACTAAGATTATAAAGATGAGAAAATGTAATAATTAGTAAAGATTTTATATTTATGGTTATGTTAAAAACCATTCAAACAACGATATACATGATGTTGTCTTTCCTTGTCTTCTAATTGTTACGCATGTATAATACTTGAGTGTTTTTCCTTTGCCCCCGCCATCTTGAATTTCAAGTTACAAACGATGCGAATCTTTCTAAGGGGCGCTTAACGAGAAAATTGTGTCTTGTAGATATGCAGCTTTGAGTTTAGTTATGAGCATTGCTTTTCAATGGGTTGGTTATAAGTGTCTTTATATATTGGCAAAAAAATATAGAAAATAGAATTTTGAGAAAGAAGAATCTCGAAAGAAAAAAGAAATTTTAGAAAAAAACTTGACCCAAATACKTATTTTTTCAAAGGTATATGCTATATAAATGAAAGCATAAAGTTATAATAAGAAAACGCAGTATTTTTCGTGCAATAAATACTGGTTGAAAATTGCACCATCTTTTCTTCAGAAGAAGAAAGCGGCAGGTCAATTRTAGTGTTTATTTTTTCACTTTATGATCGCTAAATCAATATACCGGAACATCGATATGCGAAGATGRTTCAATTAGCGGATTAGTATTAAACTGAAGCGTCACATAACCTAATAAAAAAATTATAGCTTTTCACTGGTGATAAATGCCTATCTATCTCTTCTAGATTTGAGTGTTTTTCGCATCACGCTGCTATGTTTCTATGAGTATGATATGTCTGAAAGAACTTTGATGTAGTCTCGTGAAGCCGGTGATCCAACAGCGTGACGAGTTGCTATAGTTACGTTGTTAAACAGAGAATCATTGTTCATATTAATAAATTAACACAAAATGAATTGATATTGTGTAATACGTGATAAAATTAATTGTTTTGAATCCGGCGACATAGATCAAACCGAYTGTAAGGTTGATGGCTTCCAAAGCRTGTGTGGAGTCTTTTKTCGAGTGGGAGGCGAGTGTAATATGATCTCAAGTTCTCACACATGCCTGACGTAGCGAGTGTATGTTTTCAAGGTGTTATAAATCAAGATGGGATCGAATATTTCTGCAKCGGTAACRGTATCATCAAGTTCTTTACCATCAACTCTACTGCCTTTGAACAAAAGAGTAAAAGTGCACCTTGTACCGAAGTTTATGACTTCTGATGTCGCAAAGTTCGACAGYAAATATTGGATGATAGTGAAGGTGACTGCCCCCGAGTCACAGGCAGGTCAACAAGAAGCAAGGCGAAAGCTCTCTGTCGATGTTATCAACGCTAAACTAACAGCARAGGTTGAGTTTGAACAACGCAAATCGAATTTACTAGAAAATGGAAATTCACATAGGCTACTTTCTCGTACAAAATCRYTTACTTTGGAACAATCCGATATCAAYGTTGAAAATGTGGAAATAGTTCAAAACGAATCAATTCGTATATCGGGAACATTTATGAAGGGAACAGACGACATAAATAATAAAGAAACGTTTGATTTAGTACTYTGTCCAAGCCAAGAAATGAAAAGACACACGACTTGTAGTGGTGATTGGGTACTGWTGGGAACCCTGTTTACTAAACCCATTGACAGCAGACATAGACGTCACTGGAAGGCGGCAGTGAGGGCAAATTTTGACTGATAGAGAAAACTCTGCTGACTATGGCATAGCAAGCATAAAGATTGCTTTTATCCGCGAACTGAGACATGAGACCTTTAGGGAAGGGAAGRGAAAATACTAGGGGAGGGGGTAGAGACAAAAAGAAGGGGGAAGGATTAATATTGGTGTAATATCTATGCGCCGAGGAACATAAGATTATTTCTGTGGTTCCAAGAATATCCTAGTAAGAGATCACAATACATTTTATCTTTTAACAAAAACAAACTTTATTATTCTTTTTTCAAAATTTTGTACATTTCAAATTTATTTAACTGAGTTTCATATTCAACACAAATGTATATTACATCAATCATATCCTTCATAAAATTTATCCAAAAAAGCAGTTTTCTTAGGAACCTCAGTCTCTTTGAAGTAGCGCATAATATGTGTCCTTTGCTTCCAGATATTGTGAGTTTCYTCTAATTCCATTTTGCCCTGGTAAAGTAAAAATTACTTAATTAGTTGTAAAGCAATATATAGGATTCACGAGAAACCACATGGAGTTTCCACCATGGGTGTCAGAGGTTATGAAAAAGACCCAAAACTCAACCAGTATTCATGATCAAATCAAAACACTGAGCTCAGACATGGGTTATATGCATAAGTGTGTGAGAGAGAGAAGATGTGAAGTCCACTTGGGCAAATTTTGTATGGTGTTCCAAAACTATGGCACTTTCATGATGTCACAATGCTGTACAGTGGCTGTAATGTTTTTTCAAGGTATTGTTTTCAACAGGATTAATTCCAGGTTAGAGCATCTGATTGCACCATGATCCGTGCTGTAGCACAGCCATACGAAAACTGATCTATGTCACTCCTAGCATACACAATAGTCTCCTCATCGCAGGACCAAAACTAAACAACACTGCAAGGGGACCAAGAAATGTAGGATACCCATACATTGATAAATAGCTGGACAGAAAAGAGATGATAATTTCTTACAATTCTGGGAAATGAATTATGGTGTTGATGACGATGAAAACATTGTTACCTTGATGATTAACATGTCAATAACCCTCAAGTCTCTAACTTGAGCATTCTTCATGAATTCTTCTCGCACTTTTTTACGACCTGCTTTCACAGTAATGTCTAAAGCAAATGCTTGTACTGAATGGGGAATCTACAGTCAAAAAGATAGTTATAAGTGATCTAATCATCACATCTTTATCCTCARCCAGCGTCACTMCTGCTAAACTTATTTTCGAAATATTTCGCATACAWGTAAGGAAAAATTACAAATATCCTAACWAMATCATACCTCTCTCCACCAAGCTCTGTATAAGTTAAAAACTCTTCTCCTGGCTTCAGCTGGTGTTGTGGAAAGAAGTGGTTTTACAACAGCTCGACCGACTGTTTTCGTAACCTGTGTGGTCGCCATTTTGGAATAAAGTGCATTGTGGGTAGATTTTTACCAGGCAACCTCGTTTGCTCTTTCCACAGGGGTCCCAAACAGGAAATGCTCGAAGGGACCATAAATAAGAATACAACGCGCTGGTTTTTTATGAATATCAATTTATTCCTTTTATTCGGGTGTTAGCAATTACAAGAGAGTAATTAATTCGCGCTGACTTTTAGAGCGCGGATCTTACACGCGCAAAATTATATCCATCACTTTTAAAGTATAGGTTTTTTTCACCAGAGTTTTTAAATGAATTTTCGGGCACGCATGGGGAAATACTTGGCTCTCAGTCACATTTATGAATCTTGCTGCTCTAGTTCACCTCTACCTTACGCTAGTAAAATATTTTCCCRCAAGACGGTATTTAATTATGATTTGTTACCCTGTGAACCATGCAAGTCTAATGTAATCCTTGGAGAGTCAGTGAAGTGGATTCATGTAATAATTATCCTTCACAGTTGGTATTCTATGAGCCGGCGAAATTTTTCCTTTGACAGAACAACCATGAACATGATAGTACTGCATATGACAACAACAAAAAAGCCTTCGCAAGTATTTCTTGAAACCCTGTCTGTAATCTCTCATTATTGTCCCATAAACCACTGGGTTTGAGGCACTGTGAATATAAAGCATTACTTCTGCAAAAACTAAGATATGATGGAAGTTGTCGCTACTTCCTCCACCTCCAAAGTCAAGCCATAACCAGACCACTTGTTTGGGTAATATGAAAATCGCGAATAGTATCACAATCGTACGCAAGTTTTTGTTGATTTTGGAGCTTTCATTTCGATGTTTGTCAATAATATTTTGTCTGTATTCGATGCTGTACTCACTCGTGGCGATACTGTCAATACGGAATTGTCTACTCACTTTTAAACGATATGACAGCATAGAGTATGCAATGGTTATGATGACTAGTGGTATTATATACTGAATACCAGTCAGGGCAGCAGTATAAATCTTCCTCATGACCATATATGGCCACTTTTCATGACATGCCCCAGAATTTACATCGGGGACAGCAACTATGGCCAGCGGTAGTACACAAATGACAGCCGCAATCCACATCATAAGAATAACCGCCAGCAGTTGCATACCTTGTAGCTTTGGCGCTATTGGTTTACACACAACACGTGCCCTTTCGACCGCCATACACGTTAGCGTAAAGATGCTAGCGAGTAGTCCAGATGTCATCAACGGCCATAAGAACTTACAGATGACATATCCATAGGGCACGTTTAACAGCTTCACATAGAAGTCAACAGGAATGCTCACAAATAGCACCAGAATATCACCAACTGCGAGATTGAAGATAAAATAGTCGTTGTTTCTGCGAGTTATTCGTTTCTTGGCTCTTATAACAAGAAGTACCAAAATATTCCCCACCCCTCCCAGGAAGAAAAGGACAGCATAAAACACAAGCTGAACAGTCGTCAGGAGATCTGGATGGACAGACGATGGCTGCTGCGTGGAGGTGGTATTGTTCATATCTGGAGATATTATTTAATATGTGTACTTTGGTTTAGAGTTATTCTGAAAAGATAAGAATGGACTATCTTTCACTTCCACATTTCGCTTGACGATGATGGTTTAGAAAAGCTGTTGCGCGCAGTCGGTGCGCACATACTACAAAAGTCTGTGCATGCAGGATTCGATTGCTTTCCACGTACTAATCAAGAGTTCAGACAAATCTGTGTTCAGGTTTTAGATGTTTTACCTAAATACTCGGCCAATCTAACTCACCTTGATCAGGAGTTGAAGGGCACTTTCACCGCCCGCTGATACCAGTCTATTWCTTCTATCCTCCAGTATGGAACAGGACGACGTGAATTCTGTTAATACTACAGTCTGATCATGGAGATGAAAGATGTTTGTATATGTATACAGTTTGCCTGTCCAGTGGCAATCAGCGACGTGAAATACAGACAGTATTTGTTGTACCAACCCAACATCATACATCACCTTTCGACGGACATCAATCGTCTCTCTTTTTGCTGTAACTTGGGTATAAAATCATTAATTCTTCTAAAGCTGAACAGAAATAATAAGTGAACAGAGTATTTTGCTTCCAAAACAATTTCCGTTTATAGATAAGCTGTCTCAGATGATGTCGCACAGTCCGTGTTAAGTTAGAAATTTCATATTCGGCATAAGTTATTTGCACACTTGTTCGGTCAATCAATTCTCAGTGCAAATATGTCATTGCCAATTGATGAAAAATGTATATAAAACATATTGCTACCAGCAATTTAATAGGGCMGTACTGTTTTTCAAGTTGTTAGTCCTTGTTAATACACTTATTTGCATCTCTTTCGGCAGGTTTTTTGGTGATATTTTTTATTAGTTTCGCAGTTTCCATCAATCAAAAAGCTAACAAGAGGGAATGCTTTGTCATATTTCTGACATGGCTTCGTTAAACTGGATTCAATTTCCTACGGGAGAGCAAGATGTACAAATAAAGGATTCATTTTCTACGGTTATTACATCAGTGCGCAGGACTGTTTAAACGCATCAGCCGTTTTTGAGTTGGCATTAAATTAGCATACACTCATAGATGTCGAGCATTTTATATCAAAGCTTGCGGCATAAAATTCTAAAACAAATGATCCATCACTATTTCATAATAAAAACTATGACACAAGGAAGCAAGAAGTACAGAGATAAACAGATAAACCTAACAATCATAAAGGATAAATTGAATAACAAATATAATGCATAAAAATGCAGAATCCAAGATTTGGGAAACAACTGCATTCGTTGACTCGGAAAAATGAATATGGTGAGGGAGCCAATTAATACTCGCGAGGGTGGTGAGCTGAATTTACACCATTTTGACTATTCTCTCTATTGATGGTTTTCAACCATTCCCATGAGAGAAAGTTAAACAAAAGATGTCCGCCATTGCTGGTGGACCTGACAAAAGAAAACCACCACCGTGACTGGTGGACCTTTTTGTTTTGCTCACTCTCATGGGAATGGTTGAAAACCATCAATTCTCCAGTTAGCCTTGAATCTATTTGCAAATTAATTGGTTTTCTAAAATATTTAGGATACTATGCGCGCTGTGATTGGTCGAAAACCATGTTTGATTACAGTATCAAAACACGCTCGCGCACGTCAAATACGGAATTTCGTCTTTTATTCCTTAAATCATATTCTTTGAGGCTATTCCGTCCTGTACGGGAATTTCTAGTACATTAATTGTCTTAATTCAATACTCAGGAAAAAACTTAATCTTTGTCATATATCCCTTTTATTTTCTTAAAAACATTTCTTTTTATTTGATATTGTTCTATAAAATATTCACAATGTAATTGATTGGAAACAACACCGCCGTCTCTTGGCGATAATATAACAAAGAAAACACCGAMAACAGGATGCTTGATTTTTTATACAACAAATATGATATTATAAAGAGAAATACTGCCAGAGAATCATGAGACTGCAGCATGTTGGTACTAAGAGGGGGAAAGACTTGTAGAATTGCACTGACATGATTTTAGTTTCACTTGAGGTAACGGACTTGGTGGTATACTAGATGRAATGTTCAAAGAAGACAAGTCCACGCGTTTTCCTAGTTTGTACATGCGTTGTTCAGCTCTTTTTTCCAGCATTGTTCTTATAGCAGGAAACTCGTCGACAACATCTCGGAAATCTTCCGCGTGTAGCACAAATACATCACATATCGTCACAGCTGACACGCTTGCTGTTCGCCTGGCGTTAGTCAGAAGGCAGATTTCTAGTGAAAGAAAATAAAGTAAAAATATGCAATATAAACACAACTGTTCAAGTGAGTCAACGCCACACAAAACGCAAACAATATTAACCACTTCTCACAGGAGCGCAATCAGACATGTTGAATATAAACACCTATTTCAAAAAAAAGATTTTGGATAAAACGCAGAATACGCACGGCCGAAAGGTCTTGTGGGTATATCGAATAATGAAAAGCATCGGTCRAGACTTCTATCGGACGCTTGCGTCGAGTTCTCAAAATCCCCACGTGTTTCAACACAATAGAGTTTTGTATCTGTTTGCGCTGGATGGAAGTATTAGACAACAGCTTCTTCAAAAACTACAAAAATAGGCAGTCGAGGACTGCATGTGACTCAGGACATTAAGAGATTTAGTAAACTTCGAATCAGTATTTTCAGAAGAACGAAAAYGTGGAACGTTCGAGTGTAATGTTGGAGTTTCAGAGGTCTTTAATTGCGTTCCATTGAATCCCCGCAAATCTTTRGCAAMAGCTAGTGTCTGTCTTGTCTGTAAAGGCACTTACATTAAGAATTTCAAGAGATTTTTTTCGTTATGTTTATCCGAATACTTTTGATGTCTGTCTGATATAAGAACTGTACACCTTTTCCTGTGATGATTTGGAAAACAATAACGACAGTTGAACAGCTCGGTGAAAGGCGTCACAGCTCATCGAGTACATCGGTATTCGGCAGCAAACCAGCACTCGGCACCCACCCCACCCCCATCAAATAATGAATCCAGTGACGAATGATTATGCAAACCCTGTATCTTTTGGTAATTCATGAACTGTGCTCTGATTGGCTCGCTGCTCCCTAAGGATTTTGGTGACGTCATATATTAGCATAGAACTTCACCGAATAGACTACCCCAATTAGATATTATATATCTCAAGTGTCTTCATAGTACGATGGTCTAAGAGGGTAGCTAAAGGTATGCTCTAGTGGGCGGCTACCCCCTCACTCCCTGGCCTTTTGGTTAAGACTAAGTTTTATGTTCACTCGGGATAGCGTGGAAGGGCCGAAATCTCTAACCGTATCGTAAGCCGATTCGCCGCCTCAGCTTCATAGAATGTCTCGGGGGAATCGTCCCATCTTTTTAGTTTTTTTATTTTCATTATTTCTTATGTATTCCGGGGGGGTACATCTTTTGCTGAAAGGAAAGTCCTGAGTTCGAATCCTGCTGCTGGAATTTCTCTTTTTTTTTTCTTGTTTATTGTTTCTTTTTCTTTTGTTTCCTGTTTTCTTTTCTTCTTTCTTTTTTTCTTTTTCTTTTCTTCTTTTTTCTTTGCTGTTGTTGYTTTTTCTATAGATTTTCTTTTTTAAACTTATAAACTTATCAAGGACTCGCAAGGAACGCCTGCTACAAGTGGATGGTTACGGCTCGGTCACTCAGTCAACACGATGAGATAGTGACGAGAGGCCCCATAAGGCTTTTCGTCACAAAAATTCTATACCTGTATTATGAAATTAAGAATAATTACCTCCGAAATATGCACCCTCGGAAAGCTCGTTAACTTTCTTGCCTTCGATTGTGACTTCAACGACGCCTTCTTTCAAGAAATACATCTCGGTGCCAAGCTCGCCTTCACGGATAATTTCGTCACCAACAAGATATACTTCAAACTTTAGGTGAGTAATGATTGCAGAAACAAAATCAGCGTCAGCATCGGTGAAGAATGGAACAGCTCGTACAAGCTCGCGACAGTTGTAGTTGACGACTTTCTATTAACAGGAAGAAARTAGCATCTTTAAGGTTTTATTTATATGAACTGGATAAGCTTTTGTAGAATTTCTGTGTTGTTCTTCATCACTGTAATTTATCAATAGGGAAGCAGGCAAACAAAGACCGAATTCACAAACCGACTTGATAACGCGCATTACAAACAAAGTTTGCTTAAGCCCCTGCAGCATACCTCTCGCAAAGGTCKTGATACTTCGCCCAAAATCTTCTCCTCATCAAACATCTTGCCTTGAAATCTGTGTTCGTAGTACTTTAGAAACCTTTCTCGTAATGGCGCGGGAAGTTTTCGGTATGTCATATATTCTTCTACTTGCTGGATCTTCATGCATTGGATAAGAAAAGATTGAGAAACGTTATCATACAATTTGTTTAGTACGTAAGTGCCGGTCATTTCATACTACTACATTATCAGAAACAGAAGCATCGGCTTTTTGTGCGACAAGACTGRGAAAATATAAACAGAGTCATAAGGGAATAATAATAGTGTGATTCGGCGCAAATCATGCTTATGTCATTATGTCGAGTGTTGTTGAACCCCTTCTGCTTCCGTTTCTGCTTATGCCAAAAAGGTTATTTACCCGGGTTATTTAATAATTAGAAGTCTACCTTTTCCTTATATTGTCTGGATGGAGAGTCCATYTGTTGTATWACACTGATACAAATCGCAATAAACAGTGCATAAAACGTTGCACCAGTCATCATGCTGAAGATTGTTACACATGCTTCAGGGATGTTTTGGGGTGGATGTCTACCATATCCAATGCACAACATATGTGATAAAGCTTTGAACAATGACCAACAATACTGCTCACCCAACGAAGCATTCTGAAACCAAAACCACACTATTGCTTGTGATTGCATTGATTTTTTATGCATTCACGTGACAAGGTACTGAAGCACAGTGCGTAATTTTCTCATATCAGCAAACCTAGTAAATACTAGTAAACCGGAACCGGATGACACAGGCCATCGTTAACAAGCTTCTTGAGAATTTCAAATGGTAACATCGTCTTTATTAACAAACTAAACTTTCATATTTTGTTTGCAGCACATCACGTTGCTAAGCCTTACCTTCAAGTTGTGTAAAGATACCCAGGAATTGTTAGGAAAGTCCTCTAGATAAGGCACTAAGAACTGCAGGCAACCATTCCAGTGAGCAACCAGTAAGATGATACTTATAAGATTGATAAATCGCATCACTGATCTAGTGATATTCAAAAGCTACAAAATACCAATTACAACAGTTAAATAATGAAAAAGAAAATGAGAACTTCCGATAAGTTATAGTGCGCAACTGTTACATATTACATTTTTCCCGCCAAAATGGACGCGCGCGCGCCTCATCCTCTGAGTGAAAGGAACATTTTAGTTACACACTTTTTTTCATCTAGTTTTGCAAGAGCTATGAAGAATTTCATAACAACACTTCAAGGTCATAAGCTCATGGTGAGTGAATAATCAATAACTGAAATATATGGTGCCAAGACACCAAACAGTACAAGTTAATGTAATATGCTCATCTCTTGTTAATAGATCAAAGTGGTTCGGCAGTCCGTCTATTTTCTAAGAATGTGTGAGTTAAATCTCAAGTGGTATATATCGAAATATAACAATAACATCAAGATATGACTAAAAGCTTTCAATGGAATATAGTATAGCATAGGCCGATTTAAACCTTTCCATCTTCGTATACTCTCGACATAAATGTCTCTCGCAATGGTTTGTCGTTGCTGCATGCAGGGTTGCAACCAATCAATATTGGTATATGCATGGTTTTTGGTTGCTGCATGTAGGACACCACTTAATGAATGCTTCTTTGCTAGCAGACATCGTGGATAGCAATAATGGGTTGTCGCATTTACCGCGCTTTTATATTTTGGCGCGAAACTAATAAAACCCCTCTCTGAGGGTCGCACTGATTTATGACCTGTCGAACCCTGCTTGTAAACAAATAGTTACTAACTAAACTATCAATATCAAGACCTATCAAACATACAATATTGACAAAGAGTAACAAACCTCTTCATACTGGTGGACGTATCGGACAAGTCGTGATAATCTCAATAGTTTTAATAAACTGAGTAGTTTAACAAGACGTAGAATACGCAGGACACGCGAAGCACCGAGTAAACCGGTCGCCTGCTGACTGGCAGCTTCAACGATTTGATCAAAAGGCAATGAAGATACAAAGTCTATTGTAAACCATGTTTTAAGGTACCTGCAAATAAAATAAAACTATTTAAAATCTTAAATTAACATTGTATATTATAAACACAATATTACATTGTCGATAAGAGATATGGATTTCCTCTTTTCGCCGTTTTAAGCTCCGATCGACGGATCGAAGAGCGCGCGCACCATTACACAATGCAGAATATCCTCTAGCTATATACATGTAAATGTTGACTTTATAAACAGCTTACCTCTTGGCAATTAACTTTGGCTCCAGAACAAACTTATTTGGACTATCATGTACTAAATAACCTGTTCTGAAATTGAGCAGTATATCCACCAGAAATGCGACATCAGATATGATATAAAATATCTTCCAAGATATGCTCACACCATCACCGAAAAACGATATCGTCACAGGAAGAACGACAATATTGATCATTAATAACAGTAATATCCATATATCCCAGCATAACCTATAGAAAATAGAAAACCGGTTTAGGGACTGCTCAATATTTAACAGGAGGGGGGACGGGGGGGAGGGCAGGGGGGTTGAGAATCCAGAGGGGGGGCAACATCTAATTTTATGTGCTTAAAGGGGGGCAACGTCTAAAATTAACTAAATCATATTGCGCAGTCCTTATAAGGACATACATTACTTAAAAAATGCTGATCGGAATTCGTGGAATACAAAATAGTATTACTAATGTTTCACGCTTTTAACAAAAACATATTCATTACAGTACCTTCAAAGCTAGTTATTAATCATTCATGAACGTACTAATGAACACCCTTCTATGACGTAGGAGTTGCGGAAACGGGAACAAAGAAATCCAAACAAAAGTAAACTTAGCTTCGAATGAATTTAACAGAAAAGTTGCATGAGCTGTAGGAGCTCTGCAGAAATCGAAACGAGAAAGGGACATCAAAACCAAAGAGTGGGCGTTAGATAATCAATTGCGCGTTAAAATGATTGATTGTGTATGATTCCTTATCATAAACGTTGAAAGCGAACTTGAAAACCAATTTTCGTTTTGTTATTATTTCATTTTTGTGAACACATGAAAGGATTAAAACAATCAATTAAGCGATTATCAGGCTAAAAACTAAAGGCAATTTCCTGCGTCATGTGATTTATCGTCGCCTGATCGTTTAGACCTTTATACGGAAGCATTTGAATGGTAATTGATGTGTGGTATACTGCAACCACGTGCTATAGAACGAATAATCGACTGGAATGAAAACTCCATARAACACGCGTGTGCTTGGGTGTTGATCAAATATTGGAAAATAATACAAAGTTATTCTATTATTAATCACTGTAGGCGATTTAAAAAGACTAAATAAAAGCAGTGCCAAGTAACGAAATAAAATGATTTATAAAGTAAATTTAAGTAGAAAATAATCAGTTTTATTTCGCAACAAATTTCATCAATTATTTAAGTCTATAATCGAACCAGAAATCATGATTTGTGTATTAACTTATCTAAACCCAGCATCTACTGTTTTAAAGTCGTTTGTTTAACTGTGTGATTTTATCAAGTTTATCAGTGAGGGGATACATATATAAAGCCAGAGGAGAGAAGGTCATGTTTGATTGGCTGAGAACAGTGTGTATGCTGTAGTGGAGGTCATAAAGATTATTGAATATTTTAAGTTTACTTTATAATTAAAAAACTAAATTTAACACTATTACCTGAAGGGGCTGGTAGGGTGAATAACGAATCCCACTTTATTATATCTAGCTTGTTCATCTTTCATTGCTCGCTTACTGCCAAACACTTTCATATTCATCTTGTTTTCCATTGGTCGTAGCATGTGGCGCAACATGGAGTTGATGGTGGTAGCAACTGCCGATTCAACTGTAGTCAAATGCGGCGCGCTAGCTGAAAGACCACTACTAAGCTTGATTTCTTCTTTGTTCCTGCGAAAATGATCTCGCACACTGAGTGATCTTTTAGGCCGTGGAGTGTATTTAGTTCTTTCAATTTTTGTTTTCGTTAAGGGCTCAATTTCTGGGTTCGTTTCCTTATATACAAGCTCACTAATAATCTCTGCTTTGTCGATGTTTTGATTGTCATCAATTTCTTCCATCTCGTCTGTGTCATCAATGTTTATAACATGAAAAACCGGCTCAATCGGTGGCGCTGTCTTGCCGGTATCTTTCTCAGTAGAACAATCAACATTTTTCTCGTTCTCTGCATCATTGTCAACACTCTGCGATATTTCTTTTCCTTGATATTCTTGGTCTTTACTGATCACAATGCAGACGTCAGATAAATTCTCTTCTTCCGTGCTCGTCATTTCGTCATGCATCTCATTTGTATTGTTGTTTTCCATCGAAGAAACCAATTTCTTCAAAAGCGTTGCTGCATTTTATGAATTATCATTCTCATGCTGTCAGTGAAATAGAATGAATTTCTCCTTAGGGAGCCTTGTGATCTTCACTAACCAAGAAAACCAAGCGCAGAATCCGCTAGAAAAGGAAAGACTTGATCTTCACATGGTTCCTAAATTCTTAATTGCTTCTCGTGGAAAATGTTCCGAATCCGAGAGCAAAACCGTCTCATTCTGTAATTAGATTATTAACCTAATGACGTTTCATTGTGTGACGTCATTAATATATAGATATTTGCGCGCGCGCCTTATCCACATTCCTCCAAGCAACTGTATATATAGTGAATATAGAAGGAAATGGTTTTTAATTTATGAGATCTATATATATACACCATGGCTAGCTAACAAGATTATTATATTTTTGGCGTACAAAATGTGACAAGATGGATTTCGAGTGTTCCGAATCCTATTGAGTCGTAATCAAACTGTATATACGATAGAATATAAATGATTATGTCTTCTTGTGTGGGTGTCCCCGTAGTGTTTTCTTTTGCCAGTAGAAAAACAACATGAACTCGATTTCCGACCGTTTTTTAATGATATGTATATAAGGTATATAAGGTAATATTTGTGTGTAAATCATACTAGTTCCAGCGAAAGAACGAATGGGGAATTAAACTACAAAGTATTTAGGACGGAAATAACCTTTTTTGTGAGCCAGAACATGAAAGGAAAGCGAAGGGACGTATACAAATAAACAATAACATGCTATAGGAATTTAATTCTTTCCCTCAACCAAAGTCTGTGCAACCAATATAAATATATTCAAAAGCTTTTAGCGTTAATTTACCATTAAGAAGAAAGATGAAAGATGAAGAAGATTAATGAAAAAAGAAAGAGCGATAGAACATGAAAGAACAGTGCTATCGAAATCTTTCCAGTGTTTTTTTAATTGTTTTTCTATATTTTTGCATTTTAACGCCATTTATTCACATGTCAATATCACAATATCTCGTACCATGAAATAAATGCTCCTCTATTCATGGTTTTAATTGAAGTTAAGTCAATATAGACTGGACATTGCATGAAACCTGTTTTGGGAACCTGTTTTGGGACTATTTAACCATTCATTCTAAGGTTCAGCAGCTCCAATGTGATTGGTTACCTAATCATGGTTTATCTTATTGATTGGTTTATTCCTAGCTTCTTTTATATTAAAATATCAACAGTATTTTTAATTGTTGGTCATCAAGGCTGATTGCACGTCACTAGAAGCCCTTGAAACTAAAAGGTAAAGATCAAGTGAATAATTGCACTTCATGTGGATATGGGAATGGGGTGCTTTGATGCATCTCTTGACGAACATGCGCATTCGTTATCAATGTTCGCCACTAGGCACAGAATCAAAGGCGTCATACTATTAATACTGTAGCCCGCGTTCTTTCTTGAATGGCTAGGTTTAGTTATACAACCTATAAGTGCGTCTCATTCTCTGTTCAACTGCTATATTGCAAACCATTGAAAAATACTCATGTATATTCATAAATCTGTACATTTATCATCGAGTCTGCAGTATTTTAAAACTACTCATTATATTATAACATAATTGCGTTATTGACGATTGTGAAGAAACCAGGTTTATATGTAAACCCGCCTTCACTAATCATAATATGATTCTGACCTTAAATCATTGACGTTTTAGTCTTTTTACATCAGGGAGATTTTGCTTCGGAAATCATTACGGACGATTACTTTTTCTGGAAAGCACCCTGGGCATTTTTTGACAGTATGTGCCAAAGTCCTTGAATGAAAAACATCGTTAGGGATTAGAGATATCTTCACTCAATATATTCACTAGTTTTCATTGTCAGGATAAGTTTGAAGGATCATCTGGTTCATAATTCTAGGGAAGTTAAAGACATAAAAATGCGGGGTGTTAAATACTGTGTGCTAGCTTTACCTTTTTTCATCGCACAAACCTGGATTGACGTTGTTAATAAGGACACAACCTGACTAAAAGATGGCATGAGTTAACGGCTTCAAGGTAGAAATCCCTCTCAACGCTTTGAATTTTAATCTTTGTTAGCTCACAGGAAAGATTAACGAAATGTCAGAAAATTATTGCTTTTTCGTCACGTTGTTATCACTTAATAAAGAAAAACCTAATTCATTTAATTTCKTTGATTCGATATGTTGCTATGGAGATCTCAACGAAGTTCTTMAGCCAACGCTAGCTTCCGTTTTTTTGTCTTCAATGCGGTGCATTGGTCCCTTGTTTATCAGCTGACGTCTGTTTCGGCTTTATTCAATACCAAGGTAGTTATCGTATTTAATTGACTTCGACACCTGTGAAATACAGTGTTTAAACGAACCTTGAATTCTTCGCCGAAGGCTAGCCGGAAAGGCTTGGATTGTCTGTTTTGTCTCCCGGTAGTGAAAGCATTTCTCAGTTTATGTTTAAGTCTACGATAATCTTGTTTGAACTTTCATCATTTTGAACCAACCAGGTTGCAGGTCTTACTAGTGATAATCAAAGAGTTTATCATCGCACAAACTGAGCAATCGCGATGCATGTTGATAGCAAGGACATAGATATATTATTTACATTCACATCACAAGGAAAATACATTGACATAATGGTATAAACACTAGCTTCTTGACTTCAGGCTTATTACAAACGCAAAATAAACTAATACTTTGGTAAATAAAACATTTATTCAAGCAAAGCACTCGAGGCAGCTTCAGTCTTTCTGAAACGTACTCTTCCATCTTTTTTGTCTTGAGATGAAGTATATTTGAACTCCATTTTGATATCTGCTGACCTGCGGCAAAAAATATACAGTACGCAAATCGATAAATCAAAAGGGTAAAAATCCAATTTCCTGCATGTATATGTAACAGTTTTAGAGATTTTCAGGTCRAAAAGAGCTGAAACACTGAATGTTATCTTTACCTTTGGTCTAAGGGATCGGACACGTTGATAAATATGAAAAGAAGAAAAGAAAAAAGTCATAAGCAAATATTGATACGAAAAAGAAACACCAAAAATGCAGTCAAATACCAAAGACAGACGTCTGCCCTCTTGGTTTTAATACAAGTTTGGCTTTTCTCGACATTATTTTGAATTGCCAGCAGTTTTGCGCAGTATCCGTCCATCACTATTTCTGCCAGCAATATTGATAACACGCTATCATTGATAAACCCTACAGGGCGTGYATTCCCATACATAAAAAACAAGGAATATTAACGCTTTGATGGTTATGAAAAATCTTTCCTTTACACGCATTCCCGKCTCATCCTCGACGCTTTCCGTGCGCGTATTATTTTCTCAGTACTGTTCCAAGGTAGCTCTCGCCACATCCCCCACCCCCACTGATCCCCCCAAACCCCCTTCCTGGCGCGCTAATAAGACAATAGTTTTAACATGTGTTCTTGTTTAAATCATATCAATTATTGAAGCAATGAAACAATCGTTATGTCAGCAATATCATATTGACTTGAACAGACTTGATGTCTAAAATACTGTGTGAGTCATCACAGCCGCAATGTCATTATTTTTGCTTATTACGATTTTATCGGGATGTTGAGGATCCGCTCCGGTAAAACAAAGAAAACGCCGCGCTTATCGTCCTCTTTTTACCCAAGAAATATCAATATTTTAMATAGTTTATATTCATGGCTATTCAAGATAGGCTCGTATAATGATACGAGGAATGCGCACGAGAATTTATTGTGAAAATCGATGATTCCCATCAAGGGGTTCCGCAATATTGTGGTTTGTAGTAAATGAAAACTCTTCTTGGTGGTTTGCTTATTTTGTCTGTGTATTTTGCAAATGAGTGCAACCCTTCGAGGTTTAAATAACATGGAATTCCAACAGATTAAACCATTAGGTAGTGAAGAWTTCTCAACTTTTGCCGGATGACCTTCTTAGAAACACTGTACAGAGTCGTATGCCGCTAAAAAAGGGCTTGTTATTTCTAAGAATAGATTGCTATTAAATATAGATTATAATCTATTAATTACGGACCAAAATGGATGGYAAGATATCAATAGAAACATACTAAGAAAATGCCCTTGAAGTGACACATGATTCATGAGCTTTTGTAAAGTAATGGAACGATATTTCCAAAAATATCAGAACCTCTTGAGAGTATATTGTTCTTTGCGAGAGTGCGGTATTAGCCACGTTTTTAATGTTTTATCATGATTTCGTTGTTTTTCTAGTTCGGTTGAATASCGTATTTGATTATTTACCACATAGAGTTTGATTATGTTGAACTTGACGCAAACACTCAACCGCACAAAAGACTTCTTCAAAGTTAAAGTTTGGTTTCTGCGGTCATCATTTGAAAGTTCTAGTACAGCTCTCAAATCACTTCATGGACTTTATAATTTTTGAATACACTGCTTTCAAAGACTTTTCTACTTGATYGATATCATATAACGAGCACTTACCTTGGTGTTTCTTTTCTTTTAACGTCTTGCTAATGTACACAATGGCTCCCAGTACTAATGCTTCTATGGCAATTCCTATCAACGGCCATAAGTAACCGAAGGGATCTGGGAACAGCACCACAACATTATGCATCTTGTTGGCAGATATATACCTAGCCTACTATAGCAATTAACTATAATCAATACAGGCAATGTGCATCGACGCCATTTTGTGCAGCAAAGCATGATGGTAGTTGTAGTCCTCGTACTTTTCATAGACCCTAAAATATCTCCTTAAAAGCCGTTTTTACAGTTTCTTTATAATAGAAACGGGACAAATACTTCTATTTTCTTTTAGAAAAAGCAAAAACGGGTTAGAAAGACTGTTAAGCGGACGTAAAAAAGTGCGAGGACAACAACGACCATCATGCTTTGCTACACAAAATGGCGTCCCTGCACATTGCATATTACTGAAGTTTACTCCAGCTTTGGTTATCCAGCTTGGGATACCTTTGGTGGTATATTTCTAATCTCAGTTTGGGCTACCTGTGTTAGTTACCTTTAATCCTTAGAATGTATCTCTGACAGAYTTCATCATCGCTCGTATTGGTTGATTTGATGCAGCAGTAATAATAACCACGATCTCTATATTCAGTACTGGAGATTTCAAGCTTGAAGCCTTCATAGGGTGTTTCACTTGTTAGCATGTAGTGAGATTCGTTATTGGTCGACGCTGATAAAGTGGAAAAAATTGTTTGTCCTTCCAACGTCATCATAATCAATATTATGTTTATCTAGCTTTTAGCCTCATTGACTCCATGCAATAAGTATAATCAGTTTCCCACATTTTAATCCATCCATAAATTCATTTTTCTAGTTGCATTTTTCTCTTCTTTTACAGATTATTTCGCATTTCTATTTCTCTTCCCTTTTCTACTTTAGTTCATTGCTTCCACCCTATCTCTTTCACTTTTCATTCTTTTGTCATAATTTTTTTCTTTTGAATTTCTCAAATAAAATAACAATACCTTCAAAATTTAACGTTAGATTCTTTGCGCCATTACGGGGCTTTCTCTTCCAAACAACTGTGATTGGGTTTCCTGTGGCGTTGCAGTATAGTTCCACTGGTTCGCCTTTAGTTCGTACAACCCTGTTGTATCTTAGATCCAGTGAGTATAGCCTGGGTTTGACTGATATATATATAATGGAATTATTAAACTCGATTAATTGTGACAAACCATCCTCGAGAACCCAAGGGGTCATATGGAGTGGGAACAGGGGGAGATTTGGGCGGGCCCCTAGTCTCCCGAGGATGTTGACACAGTTACTAATTAGTAAAAGTAAAATTAGGCATTGCAATATAATATATAAACAACGTCACATCTGCCGACATCTTGACTTTTTTCCAGCAAGCTCAGGTGTTGCAGGCTAAATTAATCATGGAGTAACATTTTGAATACCAAATGATAAAAATCAGAATAATAAACAAGAAATGATGTTCATAATAATTGAAAAACGGACTTTTAAGAGGAGAGAGGAGCTGACAGTATTTTAATCTTTTTTACAGATTGTACCTTTTATAACAATGACTTTGGTGATGTTAAAAGTCCTATGTTGATGAAGTACAGTTGTAAGTCTGCACTGGTAGGTACCWCCATCGYCAGGTYTACTRAYATCCATGGTGAGATCACGAAGCTTTATATCATTAGGGCGTGGCACTKTAGAGATAATCTCGYCAYTTTTGCTCCATGCCATCCTTACCAAGGTAACAAAATAGTCACCAGTCTTTGTTAGGTTGCATTCTAAAGACAGTTGGTCGCCAAACTCAACCGTTTTGTTCGTCGAAACTGATATTTGTGGGAGYGAAGCATCTACAATGATAGATATGAAATCATAAAATTAAATCATAACTATCAATAAATAATAATACTTTCTTCTTTTTTTCTTAAAACATGATAATCTTATATACCAAGCGATCTTCCTGGAAAAGAAATCAGGTGGGTGATACATGAACAGCGATATCGAAAAGATCCTCTACAGGAAAGAAACTGAGACAGTGCATTTTAACAGTGGAAATACTGCGTTGTATGACTCAAAGTGCAGGTCAATACCATTCTTTACTTACATGATACATACGTAATTCCAAATCCATAACGAGCGCTCACATCACTAGTATTTYGTATTTTACATTCATAACGACCATCGTCAGATGCCTTGATTCGTTTGATAAACAAAGAGACGAAGAGTTTTCTTCCGTTCACTAGAAAAAAATGAAAACCGTTAATAAGGGCCTCTTTACTTCCTTCATTGAAAATAGAATTTAATTGAAGTCACTTTAAGCATAACATAACAAGCAAATTGTGTGAGTCTGTGCGCGGAAACATTATCATGTTTATTATTGATACCTTCCGTTCTGCTAGTGAATACATAGTCTTTCCCATTTTCAATGGCGGTTTTTTCTCCTATTTGATTGAGGCGGTAAAACTCAAASCCAAGAGGTTTTACCGAAGTGTTTTCCTCGTCAAACGCGACACAAGTGATTGTGAGAGTTTCGTTTTCAATAGCAACGCGGTGGCCAGGAAGTGGGGATACAATTTTCAGGACACCTGGCAGATAAAAAAYCAAAGAAAAAACATGAGCTAATATAATTACTAGCGTTCAGTAATTACATTCATAGGTTGTCCGTAATTTTATATTAAAATGTCAGCTCATTTGATAAAGTAATTATCAGAATATTAATATCATAATTAAAAATATAATGATAATAATAGAATAATATTAAATTGGGGTAGAATATTCGGTGAATCAATTCTATCATTAGAGGTCCAATTGCAGACATCGATAACACCTTGGGAATTGACGTTGCGGGATTCGAGTCCGGTTTTTTCTCTCATTCTCATTTTGTCTCGTTTAACTTATTTCCAGGAAAAAGAAATCGCGATGATATCGATAGAGTTTTTCTTCGCAGCATACCGTTTTGCTGGGCTTCCTGTTTCTCTTAAAGAGACAGGAAGCCCGACAACATATCTACCGTAGGTTGCTGAATGAGATAAAGCAAGTAAGTGCCGTCAACGTACRACGATTTTAAATGATACTCGGGCTTTTATAGCTGTGAATTGAAGCTGGTTGTCAATAGAAAGATTATCATTCATGATTTCCTCCTCAGAACCATTTGACATGTTGGACATCTTTGAGTATTGTTTCAATGCATACCATGACTGTAGCGATTAATGTTGGTTCCACTGAAAGGAATTGTGGTAATGATATTCAATTCTTACCTTCAACAGTCGTCAAAGTACAAAGTAGTACTACTATTTTTTGCGTGAAAGTTTCCATCAGTTTTTGATACTGGTTGCTTGTTGTTCTGAGAATAGTGAACTTTAACCTCGAGGAACTGTTTATAATTGCATGGTACAATGTCCGCACTCGTGTCATCCGRAGTTTAGAAAACAAACAGTGCGTTTTAATAGTCATAGTTAAAGAGAGACAAGGAAATATAATTATTACAGAACGGGTTTTAATTGACCTGACTTGAATCACTTAATTCTTCAAGCATTTTCAAAAAAGAGCACCATGTATAYCAAGAAGYACATTTCACGACCAAACYAACCGGCGCGCAAAACGTTATTGGTCTAAAAGCAAAATTGAAATGGGRAATTTGTCATTGGATTACTGATAAAATATTGAAGGAGGTTATGTGCGTCATCTATTTTTCATTGTTTGCTGAAAGGATTATATATCTTAACTTGTTCCAACACGCGAATCATCATAACCTATGACAGTCGATTTTACAGCTTGGCACATGACCAATTTAGTAGGTTACTGTGCGGTTTTTGTTTTATGATGTAAGTGTCTATTATAAATAACCTCAAGAGGATTGGAGTACCTTTTTCTTCATTGCTTTAACCAGTATCAATGCCTTTTTGCGCTTTATTATTATTTTTATGAATTTGCAATCAATTTTGTAATTATCAGATAATTTTACCGCTATGAACCAGCGGAAATATTAAATAATTGCACCAATATTTATGTTTTCAGTGATTTTGTTTATTATACAAATTATACAACATCACGAGTGTGGTGTAAATGAAATGGGTGCGGCAGCTGTTCGATCAACAAATGTAATGTGTCTCTACTGCATGGATACAATAATGAAAATTTGTCGGTATGTCCTGAGTGGCAGTAAGCTCTTAAGAAAGCCACTGAAATAGCACTTACAAAATATTCCGGCTTCTTTCAAACCTTTGGATGGACAAAAATAGATCCTTCTAGCCAGTTTCCGCCGTTGCGGAGGAATAAAAAATCAGGTACGAAAACTCTACAGGGTGCCAATCATCACATGAGATATCATCACAGGAAGTATCACGTGAAAAATGGCATCCGTCGATTCTTCGCGTGATATATGTACAGTGTATGTCATAAGTGATGCATTACATACATTACCGAATCTGGTGTAAAAATTGCCTAGATATAAGGAGTGAATATTATACAATATGACAGAACTACTCTACGGAACGGCAGCGCTGATAAACATGCATTGTCTGCATTCGAATGAACTACAATAGTCTCCTTTGCAGCCTACACTATTTTTTTGGTCTACCTAAGGAAGGGTAGGCTGCGTCGGAGACTAGGACTGTCATGTCTAAGTTATCCTGTTCTTGCGCCACTGTAACGCAGTCGTACGTGTCCTTTGCCTCCGTCGTCAGTGAACGTGTAGCTCAAGTCTGTTTGCTTTACAGGCCTAAAATGGAAAGAAAATAATTGTGAGTTTATACTCGTCGATGAGCTCCAATATTAGTCTGTTACAAGTACAATCACAAGGACACGAGCAGGATGCTATAAGGTAGAGTCGCACATGCTATTGTCTGCAGCCCCAAAAAGTAAGGGAGGAGTTGGGGGATACTCCTCACGAGGGAAAAATTCYTAATCTTCCGAGCCTGCGCGGAACGACTGCTAAATCCGTATCATYACGGAATAATTCTAATTCTAAATCTATAATAATGCATACTACTTACTTCTTTTTGACAGCTATCCAATGACCCAGCCACAAAAACAGAAAAGAAAGAAAAAGTCAGCTGACATTGCAATTGAATTGTTTAGTATTGTTTAATGCTTACCGCCTGATTTACACCAATAAGAGATGAGCAAAATAAGAACAATAAGAATTGCTTGAATGAGGATTCCAATCAATGGCCATAACCA